CCAGTTACGGCCTGACATGTTCGATTGACAATGGTACCTTTAACACTTTTCGGACAAGAATGAGGAAGATACCTTTGTAATTTTTTATCATCAAAAGGGATTAATTCTGACAATTTTATTCTTTCTCTCACACTGCATTAATAAATATTTTAAGATAGAAAAAGAGGGATAGCCCTATCTATCCTTATTAGACAAGGGTTTAAAGTATACCTTTGTAGATCCGACATGTTACTCTGTAAATGGAGGGTCACTTGAAATTACGACCACAGTCTCTTTAAGGTTATTTACGGCAATATTAATAATATTTTCCAGAATATAAAAATTGTTTATTTTAGTCAAATTATTTTTGCCACTCTCTCTGTAGAACTGCACACTACAAGCATTTAAGTTTTTTTTATTCTCTTATTTGAAAATGAATTCCGAAAAGAACTATTGAAAAACATAAAAAAGAACTATTGAGAAACATAAGAAAAGAACTATTGAGAAACATAAGAAAAGAACTATGGAATGTTTATGTCTAAGTTAGGATACTATTGTTTTTTCAAAGTAGTCAAATGTATACTGCCTTGCCTAATAAATCAAATTAAAAATAAACATTGAAAATCCTTTCTAAAAATGCTGTTTTATCGGTAGTTTCTTGAATTATGAAAAAATTCCTTTAATCTAACTGCGCAGTAGTAGTTTAGGCGTTCACACTCGGGTATTAAACTTAATAGACAGCATTCAAACATATGATGAATGAAGGAATATAAAAATTTAATGACATAATTCAATATTCTCCTTCTTAATTGTTCAAGCTGGAACCAGACGTTGTTCAGGCTGATATATTATCATTCATAATCCTAGTTACTCCCACCGATTACCCGCGCTTTGTATTGAGTCATTCTTTATAATTAATAATCATCTATTCTGCACTCATCATTGATGAATGCAGATTGCAGGATAAAAGAATATAGAGATTGTTAAAACTTTTAAAATATTCAAAGAGTTCTTTTTGTCTGGTAAATGTGTACAGTGGGGCGTATAAACATTTGGAATAATAAGTCCATTATACTATACTCCAGTTAGGATTTTAAATATCCAATAAACATGAAAGACATATTGTTTAAACACTGTTTTTAAATATTCATGCTAAGCAGTACTTAATAAACTAGGTTTGTTTTAGATCAAACAGCATATCTTGTAATTTTTAGACTTAAAGTGTTAAAAAAGGGTTATCAAACCTTATTGCTCGAAATAAAAATCCATGACAGAGATACAATTGAGCACTCCATAATTTTCATGTTTATTGGATATTTAAAATCTTAACTGGAGTACACTAATGAACTTCTTATTCCAAATGTTTATGGGCCCCACTGTACGCATTTACCGGACAACAAGAACTGTTTAAATATTTCATTTAGAAAATTTCGAATAAAAACCAAATTTGGGTGTTGGGACCCAGTCCATGAGATGGTATTGGGATTAAACCCATATATGGCAGTTTTCCTCGTATCTCACGTTTTAAAATCGAGATATTTTATTATTCACTTTACTATGCTTAAAGCACCAGTATGCATAATATAAAATGCATGCTTATCAGTTCTCATAAAAATTAATTTGAGATGTTCGACGCGTTATATATCAAAAAAAGAATTAAACTTTAAAGTTGGCTGTAAAAAAATTGTGTTGCCGAAAAACCTAAAAATTATGATTTTTAGTATCACGAATCACGATAAGTTTGCGTATTTTATCATTGCGTATTATTTATTTTAATTAAGGATTGTTTGCAACAGTTCCTAAAAAAATTCTGGATGGAAAAAAACATCATTGTCACTGTTTTCCTGTCCTCATTTAAAATGCCTGTAAACTATTGAATTATATCATACGTCACATAAAATCCAGCTTTTTATTCGTAAAAATTCGAATACGGAAATAAATGTATCTTAATTAACTAATAAGAAATTTAAAAGTAGCATACATCTATATACAGTAGTAATCTCTGTTTGTTTGTTTGTATGCCCGATCATAGCTTGACCCATTCGCCTAACCAGGGAAATGTTCTTAGTTGTGTAGTAAAATTCTAATGTGAGTCGACTTTTCGGGAAAATCCAGGCAAAGCTGTGTTCCCAAGCTAGTAACATATATATATATATATATAATAATTTGATTATGAGAAATTTAAAAATATTGAAAAGGCATCGTCCTTTTGTTGATGAAATCTTGTTTATATAATTCACAGTCTATGTTCTAAGAATAAGACCTCACTAATCATTTCAGATAAATCCACATGTTGAGCCTAGTCTGCTATAGTCAGCTATAGTCTGCTATAGTCAGCTAGTTTACTATAGTCTGCTATAGTTTACTATAGTCTGCTATAGTTTACTATAGTCTGCTATAGTCTGCTATAGTCAGCTAGTTTGCTATAGTCTGCTATGGTCAGCTAGTTTTCTATAGTCTGCTATAGTCTTCTATAGTCAGCTTGTTTACTATAGTCAGCTATAGTCTGCTAGTTTTCTATAGTCTGCTATAGTCTTCTATAGTCAGCTAGTTTGCTATAGTCTTCTATAGTCAGCTAGTTTGCTATAGTCTTCTATAGTCAGCTAGTTTACTATAGTCAGCTATAGTTTACTATAAGTCTGCTATAGTCTACTATAGTCAGCTAGTTTACTATAGTCTGCTATAGTTTACTATAGTCTGCTATAGTCTGCTATAGTCAGCTTGTTTACTATAGTCAGCTATACTTTACTATAAGTCTGCTATAGTCCGCTATAGTCAGCTAGTTTACTATAGTCTGCTATGGTCAGCTAGTTTACTATAGTCTGCTATAGTCAGCTAGTTTACTATAGTCTGCTATAGTCAGCTTGTTTGCTATAGTCTGCTATAGTCTGCTAGTTTACTATAGTCAGCTACGTTCAGCTAGTTTTCTATAGTCAGCTATAGTCAGCTAGTTTACTATAGTCAGCTATAGTTTACTATAAGTCTGCTATAGTCTGCTATAGTCAGCTAGTTTACTATAGTCTGCTATAGTCAGCTAGTTTACTATAGTCTGCTATAGTTTACTATAAGTCTGCTATAGTCTGCTATAGTCAGCTAGTTTACTATAGTCTGCTATAGTCTTCTATAGTCAGCTAGTTTGCTATAGTCAGCTATAGTCAGCTAGTTTACTATAGTCAGCTATAGTTTACTATAGTCTGCTATAGTCTGCTATAGTCAGCTAGTTTACTATAGTCAGCTATAGTTTACTATAAGTCTGCTATAGTCAGCTAGTTTACTATAGTCTGCTATAGTTTACTATAGTCTGATATAGTCTGCTATAGTCAGCTATAGTTTACTATAGTCTGCTATAGTTTATTATAGTCAGCTATAGTCTGCTATAGTCAGCTAGTTTACTATAGTCTGCTATAGTTTACTATAGTCAGCTAGTTTACTATAGTCTGCTATAGTTTACTATATTCTGATATAGTCTGCTATAGTCAGCTATAGTTTACTATAGTCTGCTATAGTTTACTATAAGTCTGCTATAGTCTGCTATAGTCAGCTAGTTTACTATAGTCTGCTATGGTCAGCTAGTTTTCTATAGTCTGCTATAGTCTTCTATAGTCAGCTTGTTTGCTATAGTCTGCTATAGTCAGCTAGTTTACTATAGTCTGCTATAGTTAGCTAGTTTGCTATAGTCTGCTATAGTCTGCATAATCTTCAGCTAGCTCAAGAACGCCCTTTTTTTTTAGAGCTACTTAAAGAGATGAATTAATGATTATAGATTACACATTTCGAAAAATGTATAGGCGCAGAATTTCTTCTGGGTTATTTACCGGCTAAGTCTATCAAACCTTGTTTATCCTTTACTAAAAAGTATAGGAAAGTCTGGCGGATAGAAACATTGTGGGCTTAGCAACATTAACTTATCACTTGTCCTGCGTGTCAGTTGCCCTGTTTGTCAATTGTCCTGCTTGTCAACTGTCCTGCTTGTCAATTGTCCTGCTTGTCAATTGTCCTGCTTGTCAATTATCCTGCTTGTCAAATGTCCTGTTTATCACTGGTCCTGCAAGTCAATGGTCCTATTTATTACTTGTCCTGCTTGTCAATTCTCATGTTTGTCAATTGTCCTGCTTGTCAGTTGTCCTGTTTGTCAATTTTCGTGATGGTAATTGTCCTGCTTGTAAATTGTCCTGCTTTTCAATTGTCTTGCTTTGCAATTGTCATGCTTGACAATTGTTTTGTTTATTACTTGTCTTGATTGCCAATTTTTTTTGCATATCACTTGTCCTGATTGTCAATTGTCCTGTTTATCACTTTTCCTGCTTGTCAGTTGTCCGTGTTTGTCAATTGTCCAGCTTGTCAATTGTCTTGTTTGTCAATTGTCTTGCTTGTCAATTGTCCTGCTTGTCAGTTGTCCTGTTTGTCAATTGTCCTGCATGTCAATAGTCCTGTTTATCACTTGTTCTGACTGTCAATTTTCCTGCTTGCCAGTTGTCATGTTTGTCAATTGTCCTGCTTTTCATTTGTCATGTCTGTCAATTGTCCTGCTTGTTAGTTGTCCTGTTTGTCAGTTGTCCTGTTTTTCAATTGTCAAATGTCCTGTTTATCACGTGTCCTGCATGTGAATGGTGCTGATTATCAATTGTTCTGCTTGTCAATTGTCTTTCATGTGAATGGTCCTGTTTATCATTTCTCCTGCCTGTCAATTGTCATGTTTATTAATTGTCCTTCTTGTCAATTGTCCTGTATACTATTGTCCTGTCAATCATTTGTCATTTAAACAATTAAATTGTTTTCAAAATATATTTTCTGCTATCAAATTTTTTTTTTGCTCTCTTTTTGATAAATAAAGTTTTAAAACTTAATTTTTACAAGTCTATTTTTTAAGTAAAAAAAAATTATTTTCAATTTAGAGATAATCCTTAAATTTTAATTTCTAGTGTGAAGAAAACCCCGCAAATATTCACATGCTATCAATCATGGATATATGTTTAGATAGTATGTTAATATTCATAATTGACAAGTGTTTTATTTTTCAGTTATCATGTCAGCTTATAAAGTGCTGGTTAAGCTGAAGTCAACAAAAATACTGTGAAAGTTAGAAATAAGAAAATAGTGAAATAATTCCACCAAAAAGTTTAGAGAAACTTTAAAGAAACTGTGAAAAAGAAACTCGGTAAACAAGGGCGACATTAGGTGAAAATACAATGGAGGAATTACATTTTGAAATGGAGTGCTGTGGATTGGAGGGCTCCAAAAGTTCCTGTACCTCCAGAAAACAATTCTTAGAGCCTGTGAAACGTGAGCTTTACGGTGCAAACAACCACGGAACAACGAGGCAAGGAGGTCCTTTCCGAACTAGGTCTGGAACACTGGATTATAATTTGTCCAGATCACCGAGTTCGGAAACTTTCCGTTCCAGAACATGGACTTCGGACGCGTCATCCGGAACATCCTTCAGGAACAAGATTTTCGAAATAAAACATTAGAATTTTAAAATTTCGACAATTATTATTTTTTAAATTGCACCAAACAGTTGAAAGTTAAAAAGCTGTTATTTGACAGTGGTTTCAAAAAACGCTCAGAAATTAATTTTTAAAAATCCTTTCTTAGAACACATCCAGTAATTTCATCACCCTCCCAGATCCCAACAAATAGAAGGTAAAATAAACAAATATTAAAATTTCTCATTAGATAGAGACTAAATTACCATTACAATACAATAGTAATTTTAGTAAAATTTGTTGACCCCTGTTAATAAATTTTCTGATTTCTAATCTAATCTATGAACCTGATTTCGGAATTCCTCAGAAATGATTGACTAACTTTTTTAAAGAAAAATACCTATTAAAATATCTATGCAAAAAAGTTTTTGCCGGTATTGTTAATTTTGCTACTTTTAATTTTGTCGAAAAAAACTAGAAAAAGTAAAAATTACAGCAAAAACTTGTTCGTACCCTTGATACCCATTACAACAACACATATAGTTTTGTTCAATTTTACTCAACTTATTTAATAGCAGGTCGATAAAGTTACTTAATCCCCCTACAACGGGAGGTATAAATGTGTGAAATTTGAATCTTCAATAGAATGGTGATAAAGTCACTTTATCACCCTACAACGGGAAATATTATAAGTGTGATAAATTCCCTCAAAATAAAAATAAAACTTATATTGTTCAGGGATGAATATGCGTACTGTGATCTCTCTTCAAGTGCTCCTTCCTCTCAACAAAGGTTTGATTAGAAATGTTCTTAAAGTTTAGATTTATTATTTGTTAAAGTTATCATTAACATTTTCAAGTTTAGATTTATTATTTGTTAAAGTTATCATTAACATTTTCAAGTTTAGATTTATTATTTGTTAAAGTTATCACTAACATTTTCAAGTTTAGATTTATTATTTGTTAAAGTTATTATTACCATTTTCAAGTTTAGATTTATTATTTGTTAAAGTTATCATTAACATTTTCAAGTTTAGATTTAGTATTTGTTAAAGTTATCATTAACATTTTCAAGTTTAGAGTTATTATTTGTTAAAGTATTATTAATATTGCCAGAGCTGAAAACTTTAGACTGATGGATATCGAGATTAATGCTTGATCTCCTATTATTTTAAATCTACAGATTAAATAAGGCTTGTTATACTCTTGTTATTAATCTCCAGATTAATTAACCGATCGGGATTAAGAATATTTCATTCTAAAGTTTTCAGCTCAGAGCTGAAAACTTTAGAATGGTGGATATCGATATCAATGCTTAATCCTCTCTTTTTCTTAATCTCAGCTCAGATTATATAAGGCCTGTTATCCTCTTGTTATTAATCTCCAGATTAATTAACCGATCGGGATTAAAGATATTTCATTCTAAAGTTTTCAGCTCAGAGCTAATAAAAACCTTTCACATAGATCCAGATCCAGACTGCTATGAAAAGTTGAATCAATTTTTAAGACTGGGTATACTTTGAAGTGTCGCAACGAATTTATCTCACTTCTACTTCTTTGTAGCCCTAGACATGTTTAGTATAGAACTCTAAAATAATAGTTTGGAATGCTTGCAGCGTGAGAGCTCGCAACATTTTGATCCCCACTGTCCTGCATCGTGAATCAAAAACCATTTCACCGAGATTCTAATTTTTAAATAATCCTAGCAATTTGTTTGTTAATTTATAGGAAAGTTTCATTGTTGTGAAATCTCAATAAAAGAAAATGTCACTATTTTAAATCATTCCTCTAAACTTGCAGTTTGTTTTTAATTCGAACCGTATTTTTCACTTTCATCCATATAAAGATTTTCATCCTGACGGTTCTGTTTGAAGAAAAAAAACACATTATCCCGGCTTATGTAAAGCTTCATGGGTTTAAAATATCTATTTGAACCTGTTTGTGCTTTAATGCTTTGATACACATGTTCTCAGGAAATAAATATTTTGTTTGAAAACCTTCACAGAAAAATATTATTCTCTCTTTTCTCGAGAGAAAAAATACTAGAATAGATTTACACTTTTTGTAAACTCTCAACAAGCAAGGGGGTTTTTGTAAACTCTCAACAAGCAAGGGGGTTTTTGTAAACTCTCAACAAGCAAGGGGTTTTTGTAAACTCTCAACAAGCAAGGGGGTTTTGTAAACTCTCAACAAGCAAGGGGTTTTTGTAAACTCTCAACAANAGGGTACTGTTGAATATCTTCCATATTATAGATCAGATAAAGGTTGCAAGGGTACTGTTGAATATCTTCCATATTATAGATCAGATAAAGGTTGCAAGGGTACTGTTGAATATCTTCCACATTATAGATCAGATAAAGGTTGCAAGGGTACTATTGAATATCTTCCACATTATAGATCAGATAAAGGTTGCAAGGGTACTGTTGAATATCTTCCACATTATAGATCAGATAAAGGTTGCAAGGGTACTGTTGAATATCTTCCATATTATAGATCAGATAAAGGTTGCAAGGGTACTGTTGAATATCTTCCACATTATAGATCAGATAAAGGCTGCAAGGAAGCTGTTGAATATCTTCCATATTATAGATCAGATAAAGGTTGCAAGGGTACTGTTGAATATCTTCCATATTATAAATCAGATAAAGGTTGCAAGGGTTCCGTTGTGAATCGGGCATTGCCATCTTTACACGAAGGGTAACTTGAAATTACCTTTGTAGCCCCAGAAATCAAATTAGAAAGTTTTTTTTTAAAATCTATTAGTTGTTATTCCAGGGACCGGGATTCCCTAGAATATCAGATATCAAACCCTGGCTCCTTTGCTGAACGGTAAGTGCAGTGCAGTAAACAATAAACTGTACATTCTACAATGCATAACCTATATCTCGATAGGTAAAAAAATCGTTTTTCAATCTTAAAACTTTTTCTTCATTGTTTCTGCCGCATAATTCCGCAAGTTACTTTTTCAGCTAGAAATACCAGGATATCTCGTTCATCGATCCAGAGAAAGGTTTAAAGGATTATGTTGTGAATCGAACATGTCATTCTATAAATGGAAGGTCACTTACTATTACGCCTTCAGTACGGTTTAAATCCTGGGATTAGGTCGGTATAGTAGACATTGAACAATTACAGAGACAGTGTGCTGCAAATTGTAATTATAGAAAGATTTATTATTATTTTATTTTAACAAAAAAAGCTTTAAACAAACAAAAATAAAATCATAAAATATGTTTTCTTGAAATGATTATTTCTATCGTTAAAATACCAATTTAGTCAACAAATATTTACAGAAAATCTTTCAAAGTTCTGTAAATTCATCTTTTTACTTTTTTGATAAAAAAACAGCGCAAACACTTTAAATTTTTCCTTTATATTTTAACGCATTTCTTTTTTAGTTTATCCATTCCTGAATATTGTACGGCTGATGAAATTTTACAGATAAGGTTAGATAATGACATATTTTATTTAAATTGTTGAAATTAATTTGCATCATTTAAAGATAAAGAAATACTTTTATTGAATGTGTTATTCATTTATAGGGGAGGTCATAAAGGGGGGGGGGTACTAAATTTTATAAATTTATGGAGAACAAGTAGGACAAATTATTTTTGCATGTTTTCCCAAAATAATATTTTTCCAAATCAATTAAAGAATTCTAAAATAAAAAAACGACATTAGATAAAATATATTTTAAAGTATAATATTTATATGATTAGTAAGCAAGGGCAAGCTGGAGACTTGAAGACATTTCCGAGTTCAACTTCGGAACAGAAAATAGGGTTTTCCAGGTCAGTTTAACCAGGTTTTCCAGGTTAGTTTAACCAGGTTTTCCAGGTCAGTTTAACCAGGTTTTCCAGGTCAGTTTAACCAGGTTTTCCAGGTTAGTTTAACCAGGTTTTCCAGGTTAGTTTAACCAGGTTTTCCAGGTCAGTTTAACCAGGTTTTAACAAATTTTTACTTTAAGGGACTGTAACCAAAATTTCAAGTGACCCTCCTTGCAAATATGACAATGTCCAATTAACAACAGTACCCTTGAAACCTTTATCTGAAACCACAGAAACCACTTTTGAAAATAATCAGAATTCAAATGAATTGAGTCTTTGCCACAAGCTTTTTGATTTTCTAATCTCTATATCTTTGCTACCCGATTTCGTAGGCCTTAGATATTACAAACTCTGAATTTGTTTGATCTAATAATCTAAGTTTGAAATATCAAAGGTTTACTCCATCAGTTTGTGGCAAAGTCTCAATTCCTTTATAATCATTGATATCTAAATAATACTTTTGAATCAGGCATTGACATCTTTGCATGGAGGGTCGCTTGAAATTACGCTTACAGTCTATTTAATGATCAATTTTTCTTTTTTCACATTTTGTTTGACATTCGAAGTACAAATTTCATTTAAATAGTCACAGCTCTTCATTTCCAACCGTTTTAGCTATTAATTTACTATTTGTATATTTTTTTCTTTGACTATACGTTTCAAATACTATGGTATATTGGGTTTAACGTCTTCTTGGGTGGTTCTAAATATCTGAACAAAGCAAGATCCCAGTAAATTATAAAATGTGCCAACATCGAGGAGGAATTTGCCAACTACGTCTAGGTGTAAGACATATTAATGTAAAGCCAATGAAAAAGGCTTGGAAGATGACTCCGTTTGAATATTTTTGATGTTGTGAGAATGGAATTATTAGTGCAGCAATTAGTGCAATTTATCATGGGAATGCTCCTAGAGGGAAAAAACAAACCATGCAATTTAAAACATTTCGCCTCTTTTCTAAAATTTGTATGTTTTTCAGAAAACTTCGGAAATCTTTCTCGAGACTTCTTCCTCGATCAAGGTTATTGTTTATCTAACTAATAAATGTTCAAAGATCAAATTAAAATATTTTTTCTTGGGGGAGGGAGCTTGGGGATGATTCCCTCGTTTTGGATTTAATATTTCTTCCTAAAAATATAGAATCCCACCCCTTTTATTAAGATTTTACAGATAATACTTTGCAAAGATGAATTTTTGAGAAAACGATTTTTTTATGCAATTATTCTAAAATGATAAATAGAAATAAAAACAGTTATTAAGTATAAGGATATAGTATACTTAATTTTTATCGTAATATTGTACAAAGTATACTTAATTTTTATCGTAATATTGTACAATTTTACCTTTGTGTACGAAACAAATCTTAATAAAAGTAGTAATTATAATGATAATAATAAAAACAATAAAAACAATCAAAGTAATAACATTGAATGGACTATTTTGTTAGTTGGGAGGATATTTTATACACAAAACAGTGTGTCACAGATAGTGTTCTCAAGGTAGGCTACTTTCCCTTCCCAAACAGAGCCATCTAGTGGCTCTTCTAAGAAGTTTTAAACCCCTTCCTAACTATTATGTTGTCTCCAAGTAGAAACTACAGGCTACCATAGGCGGAAAGGGGGTGGGAAGAAAATTAAGAAAAATTGTCCAGTTGTTGACAAAAAAAAGTTTTATAGAAATAACAAAAGTCATAGTTTTGATGACAGATGATGAGGATATGAAGTTGTCGTTTTAATTTGAAAATTTTTCAATGTTGGTTGAGAAAGATTGCTTTACCGTTTTAAAAAGCCTGGGACCAGATTTGATGAATAGTTAGAAGTAGCTGAACCGCGCAGACATAGTTCAACCACTTCTCTTGTGCGCAAGTTACAGCTGAAGAGAATTAATTGAACCACATCTACGTGGTTCAAACATGCCTCGCTATTAAATCTGGTACATGGTTGAACCGTGTAGAGGTGGTTCAACCACCTCTCTTCAGCTTGAACTGGCGGAAAGAGAGTGGTTGAGTTACATCTCCCTGGTTTATGGATCCTTCTTATTATTTTCAAAATCTGGTGGTTTACGGATTATTATTTTTGTTATAAAACACATTGAGAGTAGCATATAACAAGTTTTTATTTTGCGTAGCTAGATACACTTAATCTAGATAAACCTTAGAATTAATTAGTTTTAGAGTGTGTATAATTTTATAATTTTTTTTTCAGTTTATTCCAAAATACGTGTGAATTTGGTATTTATCTTTTGTTTTTTGTATTTAGGATCACTGTCAAGCAAAAAAAATTATCTGAGAGAGTTTATAACTGGTTTTATAGATTTAGTGGATTTTTATGTATTACTTTCCTCTATAAGAGTTAATTTTTGAAAAAAAATAATTTTTAGTTGTAATAATATAAAGTAAGAAGTAAAAAACCTAATAACATTTTTCTGTAATCTGCGTGCCAAAAACATATCTTTTGAAAAGCTATTTTAATTTTAGGGGTTACCTATCATTCCTTTTGGAGCACCTGGGGCACCTGGAGCACCTGGAGCTCATGGACCACATGAAGTAGATGAGGTTTCTGTAGTACCCGGAGGACCCGGAGAAGATGATATTTCTTTAATTCCTCGAGTAGATGGAGAAGTTGGAGAATATGAAGAATCAGGAGAACTCAATCCAGGAACTAAATTAGGTATTTTTCAAAAACTTCTTCACTCATATGAACTGTAACGTTAACCAGTGTTTTTTTTTCCGTAATAATAAGACAAAATTATTATTTGATGGTTTAAGATTTTTAAGAAACAGTTCACCTGACAGTACTCAAACTTATGGTTTGTCCCATTTGAATGATGTTTTTTTCAGAAGACCAGAGGATTAAAATAGAAGTTGAAGAATTAACACCAGCGTTACGTAGAGACAGTTCTTCCTTATCCTCATCTCTTAAGTCTCAACACCTCTACACCCCCTCACCTACGTTAGGTCGACCTCATACACTCATACCATCCTCACCCTTACTAGTCATAGATTCACAGACAGAACCTTTTACTCCTCGAGCTCCAGGTTTTAACATTTATCAATCTTATCCAAATAAAATCCCAGGAATAAATAAATACGAATCAAATCTGGAATCAAACAATTATACTTCTCAATCATTTCCTGAAGATCTAGGTTTGAACCTGCAATATGAATACTGTTTGATGGAGCGGAAACAGGACAATACTAAACCCAAACCAGACTTGATAGAAAATAAACAATTTAAATCTGAAAGTAGCGATCAAGATTACACACTTCAAGATCAAGTAAAACTAGCCAAAGATCAAGATTACATACTTCAAGATCAAGTAAAACTAGCGAAAGATCAGCAGTACATACTTCAAGATCAAGTAAAACTAGCCAAAGATCAAGAGTACACACTTCAAGATCAAGTAAAACTAGCGAAAGATCAAGAGTACACACTTCAAGATCAAGTAAAACTAGCGAAAGATCAGCAGTACATACTTCAAGATCAAGTAATACTAGCGAAAGAGTACAAAATCAAAGAAGATAAAACTGAAGATGTATACAATATGACCAATAACGTTTCTAAAATGGTTATTGACGAATACTATGTTATGGATTCAAGTTTGCCTGAAGTTGAAGACTATTGCATAATGGAAACAACAAAGAAAAATGAAATGAAAAATAGAAAAAATCCTGATGAATATTGTCTAATGGAGAAGAAATCTCAAGGAATGAATGTAATAATACCTCAATCTGACAAAACTAAGCCCACAGATGAAAATCAAGAGTATTGTACAATGTTTCCTAAACCCGTCCCGACCAAACCAAACCATTTAAATCTCTCAGGACGCCAAACCAAATCATCAAAATTAGGCCTGACTTTATTCACCGGTACCTCGGTCCAGCAAGGTTCCAGTTTTCAATCCAACCTGTCTCCGAAATCTCCACAACCCTGTAAGCTTGACAGAGGTACAGGAGATGAGGCAGGGTTGCAGTTTGAGTATTCACGTTCCGGTTCCCCTTCAAGATCCTACCTGGAGAACAGACGGGTCTCATTCAGCCCGGACTCAGAACCTAAATCAAAGAGCAGAGTTGATCTCCAGGTACTAAAAAAAAAACAGTATACTCCAGGTACTAATAGGACAGTACGATACAGGTACTAGTAGGACAGTATACTTCAGGTTCTAAAGGACATTATACTCCATATACTTAAGGACAGTATACTCCAGGTACTATTATGACAGTATACTCCAGGTACTAAAGGACAGTAACTCCAGGTACTATTAGGACAGTATACTCCAGGTAATATTAGGACAGTATACTCCAGGTACTAAAGGACATTATACTCCAGGTACTAAAGGACAGTATACTCCAGGTTTTAAAGGACATTATACTCCAGGTACTAAAGGACATTATACTCCAGGTACTAAAGGACAGTATACTCCAGGTATTAAAGGACATTATACTCCAGGTACTAAAGGACATTATACTCCAGGTACTAAAGGACAGTATACTCCAGGTATTAAAGGACAGTATACTCCAGGTACTATTAGGACAGTATGCTCCAGATACTAAGGATAGTATACTCCAGGTACTATGAGGACAGTATACACCAGGTACTATTAGGACAGTATACTCCAGGTACTATTAGGACAGTATACTCCAGGTACTATTAGGACAGTATACTTCAGGTACTATTAGAACAGTATACTTCAGGTACTATTGTGACAGTTTACTCCAGGCACTAAAGGACAGTATACTCCGGGTACTCTTAGAGCAGTATACTCCAGGTACTATTAGGACAGTAAACTAGGTACTGTTAGGACTGTAACCACCAGGATTTATTTAGAATGTATACATTTAGTGCTATATACTCATGGAACCAGTCGGATTGTATACTTATGCTACTGATATGACTGTATACTTAACACTCGTATATCTGCAGTGATAACCAGAAAACTTTGAAATAGGAATACGACTGTATAACTATACTTAAGTGTATTTAATGTTGCTTCAAAGCAAATAGTTTGACTAGACATTTTTTAATTTACTAATTAAGAAAAATGGGTCTGTTTATACTGCACAATTGCTGTGTCCCATGCTTATTGGACTATTTAAAGTCGTAACTGGAGTCTAAAAGCCTTCCTCCTATTCCAGAGTTTTCTGGTTATAAATGTCGTAGGACTGTATGTATACTTGTGCTACTGATATGACTGTATACTTAATAATCATGTAATTAGTAGGACTGTATGTATACTTGTAATACTGATATAACTGTATACTTGTAATACTGATATAATTGTATGCTTGTAATACTGATATAATTGTATACTTGTAATACTGATATAATTGTATACTCCTAATACTGATATCACTGTATACTCAATACTCATGTAACTAGTAGGACTGTATACTTGTAATACTGATATAACTGTATACTTGTAATACTGATATAATTGTATACTTGTAATACTGATATAATTGTATACTTGTAATACTGATATAATTGTATACTTGTAATACTTATATAACTGTATACTCAATACTCATGGAACTAGTAGAACTATATATTTGTGGTACTTATATAACTCTATACTCATTACTCATGTAACTAGTAGGACTGTATACTTGTAATGGCTGTATACTCATTACTCATGTTAATAGTAGGACTGTATACTTGTAATACTTATATAACTCTATACTCATTACTCATGTAACTAGTAGGACTGTATACTTGTAATACTGATATGGCTGTATACTCATTACTCATGTAAACAGTAGGACTGTATATTTGTAATACTGATATGGCTGTATACTCATTACTCATGTAACTAGTAGGACTGTATACTTGTAATACTGATATGGCTGTATACTCATTACTCATGTAACTAGTAGGACTGTATACTTGTAATACTGAAATCATTGTATACTTAATACTTACAGAGCTAGTAGGACTGTTTGCTCTGCCGCATATATCATTACTGTAACTAAAATCAACAAAACCAAAAATGTAATTGTTGTTCTTATAATTTTTACTTAGGATAATGCTGAACAAGTTGAATATAATGAAAACTATTCTACATCAAGATCCAGGAGATCAAACTCAGGAACAGAAGAACCAGAGACAGCATACAAGAAGCTTTCATACTTACAGAGGTCAGATTCATACTTACAGAGGTTAGATAGATAATTACAGAGTTCAGATACATACTTACAGAGGTCAGATTCATACTCACAGAGATTAGATATATACTTACAGAGTACAGATACTATTTACAGAGGTCAAACACACTTACAGAGGTTAGATAGATAATTACAGAGGTCAGAAACATACTTACAGAGGTCAGATTCATACTTACAGAGGTTAGATATATACTTACAGAGTACAGATACTATTTACAGAGGTCAAACACACTTACAGAGGTTAGATAGATAATTACAGAGGTCAGATACATACTTACAGAGGTCAGATTCATACTTACAGAGGTTAGATAAATAATTACAGAGTACAGATACTATTTACAGAGGTCAGATTCATACTTACAGAGGTTAGATAGATAATTACAGAGGTCAGATACATATTTACAGAGGTCAAATATATACTTATATAGGTTAGATACATACTTACAGAGGTCAGATACATACCTACAGAGGTCAGATTCATACTTACAGAGGTCAAATATATACTTACAGAGGTCAGATTCAAAGTTACAGAGGTTAGATACTTACTTACAGAGGTCAGATATATACTTACAGAGGTCAGATATATACTTACAGAGGTCAGATAATTTACAAAAGTCAGATACAAAGAGAAGCGGTTAATTGACAGATTTTCCTTGTTTCGATGTGTATCCACTATCCATGCTGTTTGAAAGCTTAATAGAAATAGAAAATTGAAATCGAAAGTCTTCTTCATTGTATTGATATTTAGGACGACGACTGTAATATTTAATAAATCAAATATAATGAATTATCCTCTGTTTAGGATCACCCAGGAGAATTTAGTCGCCAAGAAGTTTAAAAAAGCAAACAAGCATAGAGCCGATTATAACCTACTTGATTTCTCTACTGTTAGAAAAGAAAAACGTCATGTTTCTGAGAGCTATTCAGTTGAAAGTAATGATTCGAAGGGAATATGCTCTGAGAGCAACTGCTCCCAGAGTGGAAGTGAGAAAACCAACAATGTGAACATCAAAACAAAATCAGCCAAAAAGCCGTTTTTTAGTTTCTAATTTTAATGGGAGACTGCTCTTTTTAGGATATTCTAGCAAAATTATGATTTTTAATAATTTTATGAATTCACTCCAAAAAATAGTTTTTGCCAATTATTCAGTAATATGTTATTCTGTCCTAATTCGGCGAATGGCAACAACTCTCCGTAGTGATTTATGATCCCTATATCATTGCAACCAGATGGTATAAACCTTTGATATTTCAATATTAAATCATTTGATCTATCAGAATTCATTGTTTGAAATATTTAAGGTCTACGACATTGGGTTGCAAAGATATAAGGATTAGAAAATCAGAGTTTGTGACACACGCCGGGTGATTATAAATTTTCAGTGGTTTAGCTAGAGGTTAAAATATTAATGCCACATGCTTTTATGTTCATTGTACGCTGTATGGATATGGTGATCATTGTGTTTGGGGGGGGGCATAGCCCCTCCCCCAGAACACAGAGCTATCACACTTTTCAAATCTGAAACTGAGGAGTTTAGAACATAGAAAACTAAGTTTGCTGTTTTTTAGTTTAGATTAAAACTTATAGGAGAGCAGTTTCACAGTCTGTACATAGGCAGGCCCGATTTACAAAGGTACCCATAGTCTTAACTAAAAAATGACAAAAACACCATTTGCTGAATTCCATCTGAAAATTTCCAATTTCCAATTGTGGTTTCTGCACAAAAATGACTTGCGAATTTATGCAGCAGGGCCTGGGCGATATCTTTCTCAATTTAGCACAAGTAAAGGTTTAGATAGTACCACTATGAGTCGGACACACCACTCTTTATCTAGAGAATCACCTAAAATTATGTTTACAGTCCCTTTAATCTTATGTTTACAGTCCCTTTAATCTAATGTATACAGTCCCTTTAATCTAATGTATACAGTCCCTTTAATCTAATGTATACAGTCCCTTTAATCTAATGTTTACAGTCCCTTCAATCTAATATTTACAGTCCCTTTAATCTAATGTTGAGCTGATGGTCAAAGATATGATCACAATGATGTTCTTTACATCTATTCTGGGAATTATTTCTCATTTGGGTCAAAGATATAATCACAATGATGTTCTTTACATCTATTCTGGGAATTATTTCTCATTTGAAATAGATATTTTAAAACAAAAACAGCTTTCAATCCATTTAATATGATAAATATTAGTATAACCATTGTTATGTTATATCAAAAATACTAAAAACTAAGAAATTATGTTATATTTATTCAAAGTGGCTGTGCTTAAATCTTAGAGATTTTGTGTGAGAGTTATAATATTTATATCTGTTATATATTATACATATAATCTATTTAATAAAAGATATTTATTTATACCCTCTTTCATTTTTCCCTTACAGTCCCTTTAATCCTATACCCTCTTTCATTTTTCCCTTACAGTCCCTTTAAGTTTGGACTTAAAACTTAAAAGCCATGCAGCATCTTTCACTTTAATCTTCATAGAAAAATTGTCCAAGGAATTGATTCTTCGCCACAAACTCAAATTTAAAAATCCTTATATCTTATCGACTTGATGATGTAAACCTTTGACATTTAAAACTTGTATATTATTTAATCGAACAGAAATCATAGTTTAAAATATCTAAGGACTATAACGACATTGCAAATATATTAATTACTTTTAAACTCACTTCAGAATTAGGACCATATATATATATATATGATTGAATACATATATTATGACAATTAATGTTAAATAAGGAACTAAGCACTTGCAACAGATTATAGTTTTCTAATCCTAATATTCTAACTGCCAACGTGTCAAAAATCTTATATATTTTAATTGCTGCCTCAGATTAAATAGTGATAACTTAAAATTTCAAAGGTTTACATCATCAGGTTGAAGAATACATGAGGATTCAAATATTAGGACTGGTTGCTAGTGTTCAATTCCATTGTTTTTATAATCTCATCTTTATTTCAATTAAGGAAGTGCCAATATAAGCAAAACAGGATATAATTTAATGATTAGTTCCGGATAATCATTATTATAAATCAAGCTGATAAATATAAGCAAAACAGGATATAATTTAATGATTANTCAGGAAAAGAATACTGATCCTATATATATACATAAAGGAATTGAGACTTTGCCACAAACTCAAATTTCCTAATCCCTATTTTTTTGCAACCTGATGTTGTAAACCTTTGATGTTTCAAACTTTAGGTTATTTGATATCACAGAATTCATAATTTGACATGTCTAAGGTTTACGACATTGGTATTAAAAAATCTGAGTTTGTGGCAAAGACTCAACTCCTTTGACTAAAAATTAGGTTTGATTGGAGGAGTATACTCATCCCAGTCCTGGGATATGTAGTAGGAGAGGATACCAAGCGTTGACATTTTTTAAAGTAAATTCGAAAAATGATATTGAGCCTGGCCCTGTTCAAAGATATATATCCCCTGGAACTAATCTCAAAGGAAGCCATGTTCACTTTGTGTGAGGTTATATCAGATATCATATTTGAATATTTTTCATTTTTACGGAAAGGAATTGAGTCTTTGACACAAACTCTGATTTTCTAATTCCTATATCTCTGCAAACCGATATCGTAGACCTTAGATATTTCAAACTATGCATTCTGTTGGATCAAATTATCTTAGTTTGAAATATCAAAAGTCTACAACATGAAGTTTCAAAGATATAGGGATTAGAAAATTTGAGTTTGTGACAAAGACTCAATTCCTTTGCTGCTTTAATGTTTGGCTCTAGAGAAACAGTGAGCTCAAATATATTTACTTAATCCTGAAAAACAATAACCATTGTAGTCTACAAAAAACATAATTATATTTATTTCATGTATATGTATGTTTATTTCATGTCTATGTATGTTTATTTCATGTCTATGTATGTTTATGTTTTGGTAAACTTGACGTTGGTTTCAGCTGACTTTCATTTCTCCACACAGCGGCCATATAACTAAAACGTTCATATTTATTATTCTTTTTAATTTCTTATTCTTACATCTTGAAAAGTTTTTAATTCATAGAAACTTGTTTCTCAATCAGAACTGTGCAACTCTCAGGTCACTTTATCGATCCAAACCACATTTAAAAATAATCACTTTTGAAAGAGAAGATGATTGGTGCCTCATGCAACCGTAGTGATTCGGACATGGCACTTTTAAGACTAAATAAAAATCACCAATCTTTAGAAAACATATTTGAAATAAAAACCTGCTCAGTTCACCATTTACTCGAGGAAAATGACTTCGCTTGTCGAACCTTAACATTTTTTATAATGTTAGTTTAAAATTTATTTATAATGAAGTTGTATTTTGTAGATTTAATCTTTTTTTATTTCTTAAATACAACGTACTTTAAAGGACAATATTTTGGCCACTAAGTGTCTCTCCCAAGTGATATCCCTGAAATATCAAGAGCAGATATATCAGCCTACACCCCCTTTCAGTTTTCGCGAACACTCCCTTTAACTAGAGCTACCTGGGAATAACTATATGTTTAATAGGTTTAGTTACTGGATTATTCAGACAATGAACCAGATCTGGAGTACTAGTCGATAATAGTCCTGGACTAGTCTCATCTGATGCAGTGCTAGTTGATAATAGTCCTGGACTAGTCTCATCAGATGCAGTACTAGTTGATAATAGTCCTGGACTAGTCTCATCAGATGCAGTGCTTAAAAGAATATTGATTCAGGAAGAAAAAAAAGTTAATTTTACCTAATCCTACACAAGAGCCGTATTCCCGGTTGGATGTTGAAGAAAACCTAGAGTAAATCTAAAAAACAATTTCAAAAATTAAAACCGTCGACATCGCATTTATCAATTCAATGAAAACAAGGTTTTCGATCTATATTTGGATTTTTTTTTTCAGAAAAGGCTAAACAACCCTAAATCAACCTGGTTAGAGGGCGCTTCCAGTGGATATCCCAGAATATTTAATCGTCTGCTAAACCCTGGCATGGTCGGCTGCCTGTAAAATTTTTTTATAGAGATCTTTTTTATTACTTAGCCCTGATCGGGACCCCCTTAAAATTTTTATCAATAGAAAATTTTCAATAAATCAATGTTAGAATCAATTATTTCTTTTTCATCATTATGTTGAATTTCTTATTCTTTATGATTTTATTTTTTATTTTATTTTATTTTTATTTTCTCAACCTGTTCCGATACAACTAATGAGTTTGCTGTATAATCTTTGTTACATCTTTCGAGGTCGATATAAAATAATAAAAAAACGATTCTCAAAATCATTCCTTCAAAATGAACAATCTAAATGGATTTTTAAGACTTAATTTGCGCTCTTAATGAACAAATATTTACAGTAAAAACTTTATAATAGGTCTCAAATGAATCCTAAAACATTTCTCTACAATACCGGCCGCATTCTCCCCTCAACTACCATATCTAGCCAGTCATTCCCTTTAAAAAAGTACCACGGAACGATAAACACATCCATATTTGTAAGATTATGTTGTTTAGAATAAAAGTCTGTTAACTCGTAGAGGGTAATATTTTTAACTAACAAAACATGTTAAATAATAAATATATCTGGTGTTTAAATCTTTAATGGGACACAAGTTGATTGAGTCTTTGCCGCAAACTCTGATTTTCTATTCTCTATATCTTTGCAACCAGATGTCGTCTGACTTTAGATATTTTAAACTATGAATTCTGTTAGATCAAATAATCTAAATTTGATATACCAATGATGTACACCATCAGGTTGCAAAGATATATGGATTGGAGAATTTGAGTTTTAGTTTACCTGGAGTAAGGATTTCTATGAAAAAGATCAGAACTAGTTCTAACAGCTTCCAGCTCAACCCGCCGTTCACGCCTCATATAAAGTGTTGTGCAGTTAGGTATTGGTTTGTTTTTCATTTATTTTCCCTCAAGGTCAAAATTCAGCATGGCGTAAGAAACAAAATGTTTTTAAAACAATGTATCCTAAACATTTGCTATTCTTACACTATGCCAAATATTGACCCCTTCAGAAAATAAATGCAAAAACTACCCAAAAACAATCCAAAAACAACAGTAAAAAATAACAATCTTTTTGGATATTTTTCCATTTTTTCTCTAGGATAAAAATATTGAAAGTTTAATTTAAGTAAACTTTAACAGAATAAACAGTTTTGAAATCAGTAACATTACTCATAAAAATACTAAACACCTGTATTTGCAATCAAAATTTGTTGCAAATTGCAATCTACACTCTTGCAATCAAACTTAGTTCAGACATTCACATCGAAGAGTTACCTGATTTTTTCAAGATCATTAATATCTTTGTTTACTTTGCTTGTTTCTGGTAGATTTATAGAATCATCAGCTCCCATAATTTAACCTAAAATTACATTTGTAGAAGAGAATAAAGGGACTGTAAGCGTAATTTCTAGGAGACTAAAGTCCGATTTATAACGATACCCTTGAAACCTGATCATGTGTTGAAGACACCGTCGTTTTTAAGACTTGAAATAAAAATCGGGCATTGTAATCTTTGTATGCATGAGGGTCATTTGAAATTAGGTTACATTACCCTATAATAATATGATTATTTGTAACTGTTATAAAGCAGTCAGTTTCACCAGTTGCTTAAAAACTATCTCATGAATATTTTTAAGTGTTACAAAGCAGTCAGTTTCACCAGTTTCTTAAAAACCAACTCATGAATATTTGTAACTGTTACAAAGCAGTCAGTTTCACTAGTTGCTTGAAAACCAACTCATGAATGCATGAAATGGGTCTGTGAATACACTGTAAAATTGCAGTGTTTCATATTCCGTGGATCGTTCCTAAACTTGAATGTCGATATAGTCTTCTTTCCATTCCACAGTTTTATGGAACTCACTGTAAGCAAATTATATTCCAATCTCGATTTTTTATTCTTTTTGACAGGATCATAGAAATTTTCTATGCTGACGATTAAGATCGAAGGTGCATATTCGCTAATCCGTGTTATTAAAAAATATGAGTTTCTTGCTTCGCTGAGGACTTGTGGAGGTTTAAATAAAGTTTAGTCCGGTTATTGACTAAACAAAAGGCCAAAAAATAATTTCACCATTGTGGTAACATCTTTAAAGCCAAATTTCCCCCCCAAAAATAATATTTAATTTTTAATATATTTGGTGCGCTGTGCGACATTCTCAATTTTGTCCCCAAAGTAGCCCGCTGTGTGTGCGTTATTAATTTCGAGTCAGCTGACTCCCTCACACAATCAGCTGTTGTAAGTTTGCAACCACAGCACAGGGCAGTTAGTTGGCATTGCAAGGCTGCAAGCAGTGGCAACCATGGCTCTAGCCTAGTCGGAGGTGCAAACTGTAGCCAGCTTCTGTAGCTGGGTCCGTCCTAGTATACGATTTTTGGACCCCTCCCCGGCCCCCCCCCCCTCCTATCAATTTTGTACATGACCCTTAATTTTAAGTTATTTTGTATTATTTAGGGTTAGGTTAGGTTAAGACAATTTCTGGGCCGAGAGCTGCGGCAAGGACAGGCTAGGGGGCCGAGCGCTGCGGCCACGGGTTAGGTTAAGTTAAGACACTTTCTGTAAGATCCATGTACAAAATTGATAGGAGGGGGGGGGGGGTCCAAAAATCGTTCTCTAGGAAATTACCGGGCCGAGTGCTGCGGCTAGGACAGGCTAGGGTGCCGGTCGCTGCGACCACATGACCAATTATATCCATGTCTTACGTTTAAGATCCATGTTCAAAATTGATAGGGGGGGGGATGGGTCTAAAAATCGTTCTCTGTGAAATTACCATTTTCATGCTTGTGGAAGATATCGTCGTTTTTCTAACTTGAATAGTGTTTAAATCTGACAATTTCCGCCATTTTTTTTATAAAGCATAAATGCGTAAGTCACTTTTCAGAAAAACTTCATTTTCGATAAGAAAATGATGAAGCTCTGTAAGTGCTGAGTCGCTTGAAATTAAGACCTTTAATGTCACAGATGATTTCTTAATTAAACTTCTTTGTATCAGATAAGAATGGTTGCTAAAGCTCTATGTATATTGGCGGAGGGCTCAGAGGAGATGGAAACTGTTATAATTGTTGATGTTCTTCGGAGAGGAGGGGTAGAGGTAAACCAGGAGGAAATATGCCCCCCTCCCCCCTTCCGCCAGTATTAAAAAATATTAATTTTGCCCTTTAACATGATCTTAACTACAGGACATAATATGGCTATAAAATGTTTTTATTAGCCTGCATAAGTCGCTGAAAAAAATATAGTTTTTTACCTTTGTCTGATGTTTATCCTTTCTTGATTTTGTGTTTTCCTCTGGTTCAATTTCAGCTTAAAGGGACCGTAAGCGTAATTTCAAGTGACCCTCATGCAAGGATAGCAATGCCCGATTTACAACGGTACACCTTAAACTTAAATCTGATCAAAACAATGGAAGATAACGTCGTTTTTCTGATGGAAAAAACGTTTGTATCTGTAAATTTCTCTATTGATTCCTATTAGGAAGAAATGCGCAAGTCGCTATTGCAGAGGAACCACAAATTAGAATGAACAGTTTGAACAAGCTTAAAATGCATATCTACCGTCGTAAATAGGGCATTGCCATCTTTGCTTGTAGACTGTAGGGGCATTTGAAATTACGCTTACAGTCCCGTAAATTATTTTTTTGTTAAATGGAAGGTTATAAACAAATTTTTCCTTGATATGTTTTACAAAAGTAAAACCATAAAGCTTGATATTTTTTTCTGTTATGCAAGGTTGTTTTGGCTGGTTTGGAAGGGGTGGAGCCTGTGAAGTGTTCAAGGGGCGTGGTACTTGTACCTGACTCCTCCTTAGACTCCGCCCTCCTGAATGTTTCCTACGACGCTATTATTCTACCTGGGGGTGGACCAGGAGCTAAGGCTCTGGCTGAGAGTGCTAAGGTATTATTTACTATCTTGGGAACCCAGCGTTGCCAAGGGGACTTAAAGTTTACCCGCACTTGTTCTTATATTACGATTTTAGCTATTTTCCCGTTTAAAATTAAACCCAATCAACTTAAATTCTCAAAACCAAGTTAAGAATATTCCCGTGGTTATCCCGAGTTTCCCAATATATATATATATAAATATATATAGTACATAAATATAAATAGTACATATATAAAAGTACATACGTGTTAAAATACAGGTCATTAGGTTTTTAATAGTCTTTTCATGCATTGGGCACTTTCAATTCTGAAGGGGGTCTTGTCTCTAACATTTTTGATCCTAAGCCTTGTTTCTGACATATGGACGGTCAAAAGCAGTAGTTATCAATTTTATGTACTTTTTTTCTGTGACACAATTTTGTGATATTATTTTAATAAAGAAATTACCTTCCGTGAGTTTTGTACACGGGTTTGTATTTTGATTTTATATATATTCAAATGAAACTGTAAGTCATACCCCCCCCTCTCCTCAATAAAGTTTGTTGGATAATTTTTACAATTCTGCGAAATGCCAAATTTTCTTTGAATCTTTATGCTACGTACATATTTTAATCCAAAACTTTTGATTAGTTTATTTTTTGTTTTTACAAGGGCTCTATAGTCTAGATGTAATTTTAAGTGATTTTTAGTATATCCGATTAACAACTGAACCTTTTTTATCAATAATGTAAGATATTGTTAATTTTTAGCTGGAAAAAGTATTAAAGCATAATTAAATAAAAAATACTTGCTTACTTAATTAAAATTAAAAATAATTTATTTTCAACGAGAAAACATGTCGTTTGCGTTGTTGCACCCCCCGACCGGCGGGTTCCCCGGCGCTCTAGCCCCCCCGTACGGAAAGAGATCACTAACTTACTTAAAATCAAAAATAATTTATTTTCAAAGAGAAAAACATGAATATCTAATCAATTTTTGATCGGATAGTTTTATTGGTTACCGTTGTAAATCAGACATCCTACTTTATAGATGAGAAAATTTGTGAAAATCTCCAGACCCCAGTTAGGGGCATAATGAGAATATCTGCGTAGAGTCCATAGATTCACTGAGTAACTATTTATATCAATATTTTTGGTTTTTACTCAAACAATGTCTCCAGCAAATCGTTGGTAAATGTTTAAAAATATTTTAGGATTTCTAGCGTTTTTAATTTCTCCCGGCAAACTTTTCCATAAATTCAATACTCTTTGACTAAAAAAATTGGCTCTCAATTTCATTCCTTGTTCAGGTAAAAGTGCTGCTGACGGATCAGGAAGCTGCTGGGAGAATTGTCGGTGCAATCTGTGCTGCTCCAACAGCTCTTCTAGGCATGCGCACATTCTCAGTATATTTTGTGCGCGCAGTTTCATATAATGCAGCCCAGTCAACCTTGACGTGCGTATGCGCACTTCAATCCAGTGTTATAGAAATAGCTGAATTTTTGTATTACTTTCCTGAATCCAATTTAAAAGAGAGAGTTTAAATGTTTTTTTAATTACTAGATCTTAAGGGAGCTTCGTGCTCCATTTTCTAGTACACATTTTACCTGTAAATGATGCTGTTGTGCCACTTTTTCTTTGTATGTCAAAAACAAAATAAAACTTCTCCAGCTCTCCTGTTTTCATTGTCAGATTTTAAAAATTCTTTTTATTTCAAGTTTTAAACTTTCCTTAATTTTCTAATTGATCTGAGCTGGGAACTTTAGAATGGGATACATTTAATCCCGACTGCTTAATCCGAATATCCGATGTGGACACTTTTAATTTCTCTTTTTATCCACTCTTTTTTGGATATAATCGAAAACCGGTTTTTCAAAATTAGAAAGAACCTCTCGTTTCTGTATATTATTCCTAAATGGCGCGAAAAATTTTAAATTTCCCGGCTTCTGATAAACGATTATGATTGGTTGAATTTTATAAACTTTTCACGATACAAGTACAAGATTAAGTTAGTCTCGAGATTAAGAAAAAGAGAGGATCAAGCATGAATCTCGATTTCCATCATTCTAAAGTTTCCAGCTCAGTGCAAATGGAAACGGGTTTAATTGATCAATTATTTCCATGTAAACAATCATAGATGAACATGCATGTGTTTAGAGCATGGTATTGGAAAGGGTAAGAGACTAACTTCCTACCCTTCCTTTAAGGATGTATTATCCAAGGACTACATCTATACCCAGGTATATTCGGGCAAATGTTTTTACACCTATATTTTAAACAATTTTTTTATAATTTATTTTTTATATTTTTTTAGAAATAAAATGGTACAGTGCATAGTTCATAATTTGAAATGTTAATCTTTGTTTTCCTTTCTCCATCTGCAATCTGCATTCCCGCAGTTTCTCTTTTACTTTCCTCCCTTTGCCCGTCCATTTATGGCGCTGCTTTTGAAAGAATGTATACGAAACGCTGCCATTGCGCCATTTTAAGAGTGCACAATCACCCATTTATTGTATAGATGTTTATAAATATAAATAAATACATAATAATTCTGCTGCAGGCCCAGGTGGAGGTGGACGGAAGCTTGATTACAAGCCAAGGACCTGGAACCTCATTCTCATTCGCTCTAAGACTGGTGGAGTTGTTGGTCGGGAAGGAGAAGGCAGAGGAAATATCCGCCGCAATGCTACTGTAAACATACGCATATCTGCCGATAGCCGATACCTTTCGTAGCTGAATGCCAATTTCTTATTCGTCCTGGTGATTTGTGCGTATTTTTTTAAAGAAAATCCATAAAAATATTCTTCTTTTGTAGCTTCTTATTTTCTAGTCAGGAGTCCATTGTCACTGTAAACCACGGACGAGAACTTTATTATTAAGAATCTCATTTTTTGTATTTCCCTCAACCTTTAAACCTTTAACGTTTCAAATGAAACTCCTTGATAAATCCGCTAAAATTGCAAGAAAAGTACTCAAACATGTGGCTAAAATGCATAAGCTGTTTTCCCACTACTGCATTCTTATCCTCCATGCATGTATTTTTTTAAACAAGTTTAAATTAATAATGATCCAGATATTCTTACAGTAAACGTATGAAAATATTCTTTTAATTACATATTTTGTGACCATAATAAGAGGGTATAATTTTATAGTTTTGTGTGATTGATTGATTTTAAATTGATCGATTTCAGATAAGAAAATGAGCATCTTTGCCGAGGTTTCCTTAGCTCCTCCGATTGAAGTGTTTCAGCTCTCCAGGGACTTCCAAGTATAGTTGTTAATAGTTTTTATTAGAATCCATTTAATTTTGATGCGGATCCGGATCCAGGACAGAAAAAGAGTTTTAATTATTTTTTTCTTTTTTCACTTATTTTTTTTAAACAACTTAAAGGACACATTTTCTTTTTTTCAGCAGTTTAGATAGAGTTTTAAGAGCATAATTTTTTTCTTCCAGTTATTGTGTGATATTTTGCCCTTTGATCCGGATATTTTTCCGGATGCGGATCCATGATGCCAAAATGTTGCCGATTAAAATTTTTTAAAAAACTAGAAAAACGATATTTTTTTTTAAATCTTATTTTTCGAAACTAATGAACTATTCCTGTGCTTAGGATCCAATGACGCCCTGCCAACCAATATGGTGGTACGGTTTGATGAGAGCTTAACCCTGACTCCCATGGGATGATGGTTGACCATTTTATTTATTTATTATATTATTCCTAAATGGCGCGAAAAATTTTAAATTTCCCGGCTTCTGATAAACGATTATGATTGGTTGAATTTTATAAACTTTTCACGATACAAGTACAAGATTAAGTTAGTCTCGAGATTAAGAAAAAGAGAGGATCAAGCATGAATCTCGATATCCATCATTCTAAAGTTTCCAGCTCAGTGCAAATGGAAACGGGTTTAATTGATCAATTATTTCCATGTAAACAATCATAGATGAACATGCATGTGTTTAGAGCATGGTATTGGAAAGGGTAAGAGACTAACTTCCTACCCTTCCTTTAAGGATGTATTATCCAAGGACTACATCTATACCCAGGTATATTCGGGCAAATGTTTTTACACCTATATTTTAAACAATTTTTTTATAATTTATTTTTTATATTTTTTTAGAAATAAAATGGTACAGTGCATAGTTCATAATTTGAAATGTTAATCTTTGTTTTCCTTTCTCCATCTGCAATCTGCATTCCCGCAGTTTCTCTTTTACTTTCCTCCCTTTGCCCGTCCATTTATGGCGCTGCTTTTGAAAGAATGTATACGAAACGCTGCCATTGCGCCATTTTAAGAGTGCACAATCACCCATTTATTGTATAGATGTTTATAAATATAAATAAATACATAATAATTCTGCTGCAGGCCCAGGTGGAGGTGGACGGAAGCTTGATTACAAGCCAAGGACCTGGAACCTCATTCTCATTCGCTCTAAGACTGGTGGAGTTGTTGGTCGGGAAGGAGAAGGCAGAGGAAATATCCGCCGCAATGCTACTGTAAACATACGCATATCTGCCGATAGCCGATACCTTTCGTAGCTGAATGCCAATTTCTTATTCGTCCTGGTGATTTGTGCGTATTTTTTTAAAGAAAATCCATAAAAATATTCTTCTTTTGTAGCTTCTTATTTTCTAGTCAGGAGTCCATTGTCACTGTAAACCACGGACGAGAACTTTATTATTAAGAATCTCATTTTTTGTATTTCCCTCAACCTTTAAACCTTTAACGTTTCAAATGAAACTCCTTGATAAATCCGCTAAAATTGCAAGAAAAGTACTCAAACATGTGGCTAAAATGCATAAGCTGTTTTCCCACTACTGCATTCTTATCCTCCATGCATGTATTTTTTTAAACAAGTTTAAATTAATAATGATCCAGATATTCTTACAGTAAACGTATGAAAATATTCTTTTAATTACATATTTTGTGACCATAATAAGAGGGTATAATTTTATAGTTTTGTGTGATTGATTGATTTTAAATTGATCGATTTCAGATAAGAAAATGAGCATCTTTGCCGAGGTTTCCTTAGCTCCTCCGATTGAAGTGTTTCAGCTCTCCAGGGACTTCCAAGTATAGTTGTTAATAGTTTTTATTAGAATCCATTTAATTTTGATGCGGATCCGGATCCAGGACAGAAAAAGAGTTTTAATTATTTTTTTCTTTTTTCACTTATTTTTTTTAAACAACTTAAAGGACACATTTTCTTTTTTTCAGCAGTTTAGATAGAGTTTTAAGAGCATAATTTTTTTCTTCCAGTTATTGTGTGATATTTTGCCCTTTGATCCGGATATTTTTCCGGATGCGGATCCATGATGCCAAAATGTTGCCGATCCAAATTTTTTTAAAAACTAGAAAAACGATAGTTTTTTTAAATCTTATTTTTCGAAACTAATGAACTATTCCTGTGCTTAGGATCCAAGGGGTAAAAAAATCAACCAAAAACTGAAAAAAAACTTTTATTCCTAAAACCCAAATCTGAACTTTTGAAAAAAGAGAGATTATAAAAATTTCCTCATTTCTGAATTTTTTTAGGATAAAAATAAGCGAAAAAAATAAAACAAAAAATTTGAAAATTATTTTTTGTTAAAAAAAATTCAGTAAATTTTAAAGAAATGAACTGGATCCGGATCCATTTTTTTCCAGTGCGGATCAAGGATCCGGATCCGCATAAAAATTAAATGGATCCTGTCACTGCCATTCCTGAACCTTCGTATTTGGAAAAACAAAGGTTAAAACAAACCAACTGTTAATTTTAAACGTTGAAAATAAAAACCGAACCGACGATATGTTAGTTTTCCTGAAAAAAAAACGAAATCGCTTTTGTAATTTTTTCCCAAGCAAATTTTATTTTTAAAAATTGATTTTTAAGTTTTTTTATCAACGATCGTTTCGTTTTTCTTTCTTTTTACGTCGTTAACGAAACGATTAGTTCGTTTATCAGGTAAATGGAGATAGAAAGGACATGGAGTTCATACTAATTAGATTATTGTATTTTATGAATAAAATAAACAATTTTTTTTATTTTAAGGCCGACACTAATCCTAACAAAGTGGGACTTGGGGTTGGAGCATATAGGTAGGTTAATTATTTAATGTTTAGTTTTTTATTTATTGATTCATTTATTTAACTTTATTTATCCTTGGTTTCCATACATTTATACATTTATCTATTTATTCCTAGTTTTTATTTATTTATACCTTTATTTATCTATTTATACTTTGTGTTCACTACCTTATTAATACATTTACCATTAATTGAATTTTCATTTGCCATTCATTATCTATTTAATACTGGCATTCATTCATTTATTAATTTTCCTAGTCAATATTGGTTTTAAATTCTAATTCATAAACATTTTCTTATTCGTTATTGGTTTTAATTCAAATTCATAGATATTATTTATCCTTGGGGTTGATTTATTCTATCTTTCCATTTATTCATTAATTTATACATCCTTGCTTGGTTTCTATTTATTCTTGGCCTCCTTTTTTTATTTATTCATTCGTCCTCGTTTTTCTTTCTTTAATTCCATGTCTATTCATTCTCTTTTCAAGTATTTCTTATATGTATATTCTTGTTAAAGGACGGATGAGGGCAAACCATGGATCCTGCCGGTTGTGAAGAAGGCGGAAGCAAAGCTGGCGGAAATGATTGAGGCGGAGCAGATAAACCATGAATATCTGCCAGTCCTCGGGTATGATAAATATCAGTTTGGAAAAATTTGATTTTCTTAAAATGTTGCAAACCTTACTGAATTTATATTTTTTGGATTAACACGCGCTATAATAAATGATAATTTGAGTCTTACAGTCGTCTTCCTATTCCACATTTTAAGGGTCTCACTGTATCTTTTTCATAACTCATAAAGCCTCTTTAATTATTATTGTTTTTTTAACATTACAAATAAATCTTAACATTTTTAGTTCTAAAAATTGTTAGTTCATCTTTGAAAAATTCTCACAATCCATCACCAGTTTATATTGAATATAATGTAAGCAATTCCTGATTCCTTCTTTTAAAATATTTTATTAGATTGGGGAACAAAATACCAACAACCTCTATTTTTGGAGGTTTTAAAATATTTTTTCCCGTTACACTTAATTTTGTATGTTTTTGTTACATTTCATAAATAAATAATTACTTACTTAGTTAATGAATTTTAAGGAACATGTGGACAACATATTCAACAAAATAATCTACTATGATAGCAAATCTAACATTTCCCGAAATGCAGGGTTTAAAAGTTAAACTTAAATTGACCTCAAATTTTCTTTTCATTATTTTGAAAGTTGTTAAAAACCTAAATATCTAAATTTTTTAAGGTTCTAAGCACTTTTTGTTTGTTCATTTGTTTAATCCTTAGATTGGAATCCTTCTCTGTAGCAGCGGCTAGGATGCTAGTTGGTGAAGAGTCTCCTGCTCTTAAAGAAAACAGGATATTTGGGGTTCAGGCTCTTAGTGGAACAGGAGCTCTCAGGTTGGATTTTATATATTTTTTAAATTGGAAAAACAATAAATTCTAAAACTAAGATTAATCATTACCAGCCATCTACACTCTACAGGGTTACCCACAAAGGATGAGACTTCAGAGACGACTGTACGGATATTACACTAGCTGTTTCCTTATAACTTATAACTTGTTTCGTTCTTCAGCAAATCAATAAATAAGCCATTTACGACTATATTTAAAGTGAAGCCTTGAAATCATCATATATAAAGAGTTTCAGGTCGTCTTTGCAATCTTATCCTTTGTTGGTAACGCTTTATATTGTTAGTTAATATTAATTAAAGTAATGATCGTGAAAGATTCCCAACGTGAAATCCCCGGACCCGTCATCGGACGTAAAGGGACGGACATACTGTACTGTACTGTACTGTACTGTACTGTACTGTACTGTACTGTACTGTACTGTACTGTACTGTACTGTACTGCACTGTATTGTATTGTGATGTACAGGGTCGGAGCTGAGTTTCTGCATACAATTCTGAAGGCGGACACGGTGTACAACTCCGATCCTACCTGGGGGAACCACAACCTTATCTTCAAGAATGCAGGGTTCAAGAACATCAACAAGTATAGATACTGGGATCCAGGTATCTACTCACTCATTAGTTTTCCCGGATGACCAACTTGAAAAAAAAGATGAGTGGGACAACTTCTCCCATTTTGGTCTGGAATATACTGGACGTTACTGTAGTTTTTGCAAGGGAAGGGGGTTGGTATGTTTAATTATAAAAGAAAACTATTTCTGTCTTTTGGTCGTGGGAACCCTTGGTTATAAAAAAATTTTAATTTGCTGAAAAATTAATAGTGAACAATTTTATTGTCCTCTGAGAAGAAAATGTGCGAATTTTTCTTACTAATGCGGGATATTATATTATTTAATTATCTCAAGGAACAGTTTAACACCCCGCTGCACTGAAGGGAGAATCATGGGTCGGTAATTTTTGTCAAAATGCGGTAAAAAGTATGATTTGGGTTCTTTATTCAATAATCATGCAATGTAAAAACATCTCATTGTGATTCGAGTTGATTCGAGTTGATTCGATTTAATTTGAAACAAAATAACATTAGTTTTTGATCAAGAAGAATTATTTTTTCATTTTTATTTCACGATTTATTTCTCTGGTGTTTAGAGGGTAAGGGATTGAACTTTCCTGGTTTAATGGAGGATCTCGGAGGTGCACCAGAGGGCGCAGTTGTCGTGCTTCATGCTTGCGCGCACAATCCTACAGGTAGCTCACAGGGTTTCACATTTGTAAGGATTTCATCAAAAGGCATTTATTATTTTTGATACATTTTACCCGAAAATTCATTTGATTTCTCCTAAAAATCATTGATTTTTCCCTAAAGAAACATTAATAACTTTTGGGGGAAAGCGATTTTCTAAAGGGGTGGGGAATCATTTTTCGAGAAAATATACATAAATCCAGTTCTCAGCAGCAGGTTTTATCTTATAAACAATAACAATACAGATGTATATATTTTTCAACGAACATTTCCTGAATTTTTCTCGCTGGTATTTTGGGTTATATTTTTGCGCGACAATTTTTATTGCGGGGTCTTTTTTACTGCATTGGAAGAAATAAGGGATTTTCAAGCGATGGCTTTAAAGGGAACACAAATTTTCCTTAAAAATTATGTCCACCATGTTTTCAAAAATCTAAAACTTTTTTGGGGAAATATCTCAACTCACAAAGTTTTTTTTATAAAATAAAGAAAAATTTGATTCTAATCTTATTAAATAGAGATGAACATGTTACCCAATTGTCGAAAAAAATAATTTAAAAAAACACGAAAAAATTTAAAGGTGTGGATTTGAACAAGGAGCAGTGGGGTCAACTTGCGGATTTGATTGAGAAGAAGAAACTGTTCCCATTCTTCGACTGCGCGTATCAAGGGTTTGCGTCAGGATCTCTTGATACTGACGCATGGTCTGTCAGGTTAGATTTACGCAAACATAACATCTAACTATAATCTATATATGATATCTGTTTGTTTGTTTGTATATTCGATCATAACTCGAGAACCCTTTCGACATATTTGCCTCAAATTTTTATTAGGGGAATCGTTAGAACCACGGGAATGTTTATAGCTTGATTTAAAATTTTCAATATTAGTCGTTGGACTTATAAAAGAAAGAATTTCCGGACAAAGATGGGTTTCCAATCTAGTTATTTTTAAAACAATATTTTCTGATTGTTCCTATTGGCCGATGTGACTTCCGGAGCTCTTGGGAGTTATAGCCCCGATGGCCGTCTGGGCTATCCAAGATGGGGGGGGGGGGAGGGTCAGATCTAACCCTATCTTATCGTATCCTGCTCTTAGATATAAATTTAGCATACTCGTCCCACCGGAATTAATGGGTCCCTTTTTAGATATTTTGTTGAGCGTGGATTTGAACTGTTCTGTTCTCAATCCTTCTCTAAGAATTTCGGATTGTATAATGAGAGAGCTGGGAACTTGACTGTGGTTCTCAAGGATTCAGCTAATATTGACAGGAATAGATCATTTTATCAAATTAAAATTCAATTGGCGCATTTGGACAGAAAAATCTGTAGATTTAAACAATATTATTTTCATTTCTACACTTAATTATGAAACCCGCATAATCTCATAATGCCTGAATTTATGCAAATTAAACTGATCATTTTTACTTAAATATCATGTGAAATAAAAGAGATGTCTCATTTTTTAGATAGTGGTTTTCCCTTCATTGGTTCCACATTATCCCAGATGATTAAGTTTTTAAGAAAATGTTCTTGAAATCAGTGTCAAGTCCCAGATAACGCTGCTGGTCAGAGCAATGTACTCTAATCCTCCTGCTCATGGAGCAAGGATAGTTGATCTTGTTCTTCAGGTAGGATCAGAGTTGGAATTAACCCGGATTTTTTCAAACGAAACAAAAAACCAGCCGAGTGGGTTTTATTGGGTTTTATTGTTTTTTGTTTTTTTTTNATAAGACTATTTAAGTAATAGGTGAACTTTATAGCTATGAAAAATTAATTATATTGTTGTGATAATAGGCTATAATCATAATAAATAACCTTTATATACAATAATTTAGGATTCAACTCAATTAATGTTAATTCTAGGACCCTGCTCTGTATGCTGAGTGGAGGGATTGTATCAGTATCATGGCAACCAGGATCATCAAGATGAGAACAGGGTTGAGGGAGAGGTTGGAGAAACTTGGAACTCCCGGTTCCTGGAGGTATATCTCTATATATATAAAGTAGTAATCTTGTTTGTTTGTATGTCCGATCATAACTTATGAACCCCTGAACCGATTTGTCTCAAATTTTGTATGGGGACCTCGGTAGAACCATGTGAATGTTCTTAGTTTTATAAATTTAAGTTGAGTGGCTTGACTTTTATAGGAAAAGTTTAGTTTCCAGGGAAAGCTGGGTTTCCAAGCTAGTATACCATAAAACTCATTTGGCTCTTAAGTACTCTTTAGTTACTGACATGGGAAATTTTGAAGGAATTCCAATTTAGTTTAGCTACGTGGTTCACTTCTTAAATGTAAATAATAAAATTCTGCATAAAATTCAATTCACTTAAAATAAAATTCAATCACATATTTGCCATAATTAAACGTTACATGTTTGTAGTCACATCACAGAACAGATCGGTATGTTCTCCTACACCGGGCTGAGCCCGGAGATGTGTGAATACTTGAAAACTGAGAAACATCTTTACCTTCTCAAGTCAGGGAGGATTTCAATGTGTGGAGTAAGTTTTTTTTTATTACTTTAGTTAATTATCAAGTATTGTCTTCTTATAGAAATAAACCCTCATGTATTTATCTACGTCCGGTCCCTGTTAATAGACCCCTTGTCTGTATATAGTTGACCCCTGGAAACCTGGATTATGTTGCACAATCTATTCATGATGCTGTCACTAAGTTTCAATGACAGCACACTCTAAACTACGAGAATACAGGTAGATTATGTTTAAAACCTCGTTAATAATTAACGAGTAAAATTGTTTAACTTAGAACATTTTAATAATCATAGACTTTTTTCTGCTAAAATTGTTAAATTGTGTTAATTTTCCTCCTGGTTGAAACGATATTTTTTTTTTTTCCAAACATGGTAATAAAAGGTTTAAATATTATGAAAAATAAATAAATGTGTCTACTAAACATCGTCGAATTGTGTTTAAAAGTATCGTAATGTGGTAGAAATCCAGTAAATGAGAGGGCCGTCGATGAAACATTTTTCTCTAAAATGTTGTTTTAATCTTCAAAATTAGGCCTAATAATCAAAAATGTTCTCGGTCCCATTTCCGAATATATTAATTGCTTTTTCACCCACTAAACGTTGTTTTATTGTAACTAAATAGTAGTTTGTAAAATTCCCACAAATAGGAGAGTCGTCGTTGAAACATTTTGCTCTAAAATTCCGTTTTAAACCTTCAATATGTACTCGAAATGTACTCGGTCCATTTTCCTAAGATTTCCAAACACATCGAACTATTTGTCCTTTATTTTTTTTTAAAGATTCTATCATTGAAAATGCGCAGTTTATTTTATTATGTTCGATAAAACTTAAAAATAAAATTATAATTAAGAGTTTTTTTGAAATTTTTTGGAAAGAGATAAAGCACATTTTGAAGTATTAGGCCTACTTTTGAAGGTTAAAACGGCATTTTAGAGAAATGTTTTATTGACGACCCTCCCGTTTATGGGGTTTGTACATGATAAACGATGTTTAGTAGTCTAAAAAGCCTGAAAACACTTTTTTTTAGATACACCTTATATATATTTCAGGCCTAACGAAGATCCTTCGTGTGGAGTTCTGAAGTTGCAAACTGTAGTGGACAATAGACAAGTTCATAGTAATTTTAACTAGCAAATTGTCATGAAAATCTTTCTTTCTTTTTACAAATTTCCCTTTTTGGTGTAAAATTCTCATTTTTAAAGATAAATTAAATAGATCTTTTTTATTTTCATGGCTATTTTTTTTTCTTTGAAAGGCCCAATACCCCTCCGATGTCCAATACCATGCAGTTAAAAATAAAAATTGTACAGTCGAATTTAGTCCGGTGTATTTAATGCATTTGTATTTGCACAAAGATAATTAATCCTGGTGACATTTATTCATAGTTTTATTGTATTCTGCTTTTTCTGCTGAGCATTTTTCTCTTGAACTTTATTATGTTTGTAATTTTTATACAAAATTTACTTTTTCATTTAAATAATTTCAATTTTATTTGTTTTCATTTTGCTTTCAATTCGCGTTATGTTTTTTCGTACACGTTTATTCTATAGATTTTTGAGTACTGTGTACATCATGTTGGAATTTTTGATTATATTATAGATTTTATTTCTTCGGACATGATATTAAAAAAGTGATTAATACACAAACATTCATGCGCTTTAAGGGAGAAAAAGCATTTAATGATCCTCATGGACATGTAATTATTTTATTCGCAATAAAGAGTTTAAATTAACCTTCATTTATTGACATTTATTGCGTTTTTTTTCAAAAGAATTTGTCAAGCTTTGTCCCGCTGTTTACTGGCATGGCCGGAAAAGTAGTATGGAGAATATTGTATAATAGAGATTAAAGGAACTGTAAACATAGTTTCAGTGCTGGCTCCATTCACAATTTCAACCTTAAAAGCAACGTCTGAGTAAACATTTTAAACAATCTTTCTTTATCTTAAAATCTATATTAAGTCATGAAGGAGAGACAGAGTCAATTGTGAACCTGCCAAAATACCTCCGTGACCCGACATATATGTGTCCATTTATCAATACCTTATTGTTTCAGAGAATACGGAAAAGTTGTGAAAATGGAGGAAGACAGTGTTACCGAATGTGATATTAAAACAGAAATTCTTCCTTTTCCTACATGTTCTGTATTTGTGAAAGAGGAAGATGTTAAAACAGAAATATTAGAACTTGAAGGTATTTTTTTTTCGCGGATTTACATCATTAAGATAAATGAATTTAGTCTTCGGCACACACTCTTATCCCTGTATCTTTGCAGCCAGATGTCGTATAATGAATTCTGTTAGATCAAATTGTTATAATTTGCTAAATTAAAGGTTTACACCAACAGATAGAAAATATAAAGGGATTAGACATTAGATAATTTGAGTTTGTGGCAACGACTGAATTAAATAAAAACAAAACCAATAATGATTGTCATTGTTAATACTCAGAATCAGATCCTGACAATTAAAAAAAAAGATAGTGTATTTGCTTTAACATACTTAATTTTATAAACAAAATATATTTTATAGTTTAGTTATCTTATTATTAACGTCTAATATTTTTTTCAGACACTCCGCTAAATTTCGAGGAAAATTGTTTACAGTCAGATTTAAAGAAATATTCATGTTACAAATGTGAATATTCCTCAGCAAGGGCACAGGATTTAAAGAGACATATTGAGAGTATTCACGAAGGAGTAAGATATTCGTGTGATAAATGTGATTATATAGCAACACAGCCACAAAATTTACGAATGCATATTAGGACTAAACACGAAGGTGTAAATTATCCCTGTTTTAAGTGTGATTATGTTGCAAACAGTTCAGGCATTCTCAAGACACACATAGAAAGTAAACACGAAGGATTGCGGTATCCCTGCAATATCTGCAAGTATGCTGCAACAACAGTCGGACATTTAAAAAGGCACATGGAGAGCATACATGGTGGAGTGAGATATCCATGTGACAAATGTGAATATGCAGCAACAACGTCAAATAGTTTAAAGATTCATATTGAGAGTAAGCATGAGTTAAAGAGATTCTTATGTGAGAGATGTGACTATGCTGCCACTCAAAAAAGTAGTTTGAAGAGACACATTGAGACCAAGCACGAAAGGGTAAAATATCCCTGTGACAAGTGTGATTATGCTGCAGCCAATTTAGGATATTTAAAGAAACATGTAAATAGAAAACATGAAGGAATTAGGTATTCATGTGATAAATGTGCGTATGCAGCAGTTTCAGTTGGGGAGCTGAAAAAACACATAAAAAGCATGCATTTAGATATTTCTATTGATTCTATGTAAACCATGTGTACTATGTATGTTTTACTCCCTAAATATAATAAAAAATACTTAATTTTACAAAAAAGTATGACCTTCAAAGTTAATTAAAATTTTGACTTTATTTTTTTACTTAACCTAAACTTAATTTTTTTCATATCTTTTCATACTCCTAATTCTACCACCCCCCTCCCACCCGAGGGCAAAGGAGGGCAAAAAATTATAAATTTTTTCTTCTTAAATTTCAGTTAAATTGGTGCACTGGACATTGACAGATTCTGGAGAATGTCTTGTTCAGTTTGGAATGATCCGCCTCTCTTACCTAAGATCTTTATTAGCCCCCTCCCCTACCTAAGAGCTGTATTATCCCCCTCCCTACCTAGGAGCTGTATTATCCCCCCTCTCTACCTAGTAGCTGTATTATCCCCCTCCCCTACCTAGGAGCTGTATTATCCCCCCTCCCTACCCAAGATCTGTATTATCCCCCTCCCCTGCCTAAGAGCTGTATTATCCCCCTCCCCTACCTCGCAATGCTAAGATGGCAATACCAGATTCCCAACGATACCTCTTTATCCGATAAGTAATTGTTAATTTTTTTGAACAACTCTCTCCTGCTCAGCCAAGATTTTTATTCTAAATTGGAAAATGTAATCTCTGAAAATTCATTAAACTGAAAATCTGATTCAACATATTTCAAAACATAATTAAATAGTGCAAGGGCGTAAATACGTATTTTTCTTTAAAAAGCCAGCTGTGAATTTATTCTAATTTTTGATAGAATTCCTTGTTTATTCTACAATGGACTGTAAGCGAAATTTATTCAAAGATGGCGATGCCAGATTCACAACAGTACCCTAGAAAGCGTACTCTGATGAAGTATGAATTAGATAAATGCGTATAATTTTGAAAACTGTTTATTTTCAATTGTAGTTTCTCCAAAAAAGTGACTTGCGCATGTGAATCTGACATTACCATTTTTGCATGGAGGGTCACTTGAAATAAGGCTTACAGTCTCTTTAAAGTATTCATTTATGCACATGGTTTTTGGTAGCTTAATTATCTCCTGGTTTTAGTCACTGCTACTTGGTAATATTAATTCAAAATATTACTAATACTAGGCTTTTAGGGCGTTTCGCGCCCATCTTCTATTTAAATTGTGAACATGTTCTTTTTAAAAAAAGAAGAAAAAAATTTGGCGGATTTAAAAAAAAATCGCGGATTTTTAAGAATATAATTTTTTTACAAAATTAAAAACCTTTAAAACACATTTTTTAAAATTTTTATCATTCATAAACCTTCCCTGTGGTCACGTGATGTCCCACGAAAATTCGGGCCCGATCGGTTCAGCCGTTTTGACGGTTATTGGATACAAACAAACAGACAAGCGAAATTTATATATAGATCCTTTCTCTGTATTATTGTATAATTAACAGTGTTCGGTATTTTCACAATACCATTTCCCCAAAGGCGACTTCACACGTGACAATTTCCTAAGTGACAACTACGGAAATATGCTAATTTCTCAAACGACAACTTCCCGAAGATTATGTTAGGCTTCTGCAGCTAGACCAGACTTGGGAAATTGCAAAATTGGAAAGTTGGGAAAATACCATTAGGAACTTGAAGGAACTTGCCTTAGTACCCAACATTGAAAGAGTGTTGAGTTATCTGTCCTTTTGTAAGAAATTAGAAAGGTAAATTATGATTTGTTGTAGGTGTGCCTCTAATCTAAACAGCTTGGGCACCAAGTGTCATATGTAAATTAAAATGTGTAAACAATTTGTAATACATTGTAAATTTTTGCGAAATTTTGTAAATTAACTACATTTTTAGGAAGGAATTGTGTTCTTGCAACCAACTCTGATTTAATCTTAGAAACAGATATTACTACTTTTTTATATATAAACATCAAGCAGTGTACAATATACGTCTTGTTTATTAAATTCATAGTTAAGGTTTTTATAAATACCTCCTGTTTGATAAATAAATCGTCTTATTCAGGTACATTCAGCTATAGGATAATAGGGCAGGGTTGGTTTGATTTTGATAGAATTGATTTTACAATATACAGTTAGAACCAGAAAATTGTGAAATGGAATAAGAACTTTAAATCAATTGTCAAGTGTATTTTATGATGTTGCATCGCAAATTTTTCATTAAAGTTGTTTAAAATCACTGATTAAGTGAATTGGGTTGTGCACGCTGTCCAATGGCTGTCTCTAATGTTTATTGGACTGTTTAAACATAAAACTCGAGCCTTTTCACCTTTTTATTCCAATATTAAATATTAAAGATATGGTAAATGAAAATGAAATGTCATACTATACTTGGATTGTTAACATGACAAATTTTCGTATAAGAAAACAAAAATTAAAAATTGAAAACACAAAAGTCATATTTAGTNCTAAGTTATTCGGTATGAGACGTCTTTAACAATTTTCTCCTTATAGACGCAACAGATAGAAGTAATATTATTAGCGATGAAAAGCACTTTTTTATCGCATTAAGCCTATACCCCCTTTCATTTTTCGTGAACACTCCCTTTAAGGAAGATAGGTTAGTTTTTATTTTTAATGACCGTAAAAGACTGTTAACGATACCCCTTAGTTAACAATCGTTAAAAACTACCCTTTGTTAACAATTGTTAATGACCTTAAACAACGGATTTGGTAAATATGCCGCTGAAAATGTTCCTTTAATTTGTTTTGCTTTTCAAAGGTTAATAATGCATGTTTCGTTTTGACCTATCTTTTCAATGGTATTGTTATTTTTGAAAAATCGAAAACGAAATGACAAAGTATAGTTTTTTTGATCATGTTTAAAAACGGTTAACAACCCTACATATAAACATTGGGAGCTATGCTACTGAATCTGAATGAGTTACAAATATTCTCTGAATTCTCCAACACATATCAGAAGTATAAAGCCAAGCTCATTACTTAATTGAGCTAAGGTTGGAAAAAAATGATTCGGCGACTTTTTAAGATTTGATCTTGAAAAGTGTAATTCTTTGATTTCCCATTGTTACATGCTTATTGCTTATGCATTATGAATGAACGATATTCTCAAATATTTAATTTCATTTTTTAAACATAAATTTCAATCATACCTTGATTTTAAATTTTGAAAATTATTAATCCAGTGATGATTATTAAATAAAATTTCTATTAAGCAAATTAAAATGTATTTAAAGATTTATCTAGAGTAACCTTTTGGTACATTACCGTAACCCCTTGGTTTATCATCTGATTTAGATCCATATGGAACTACTGGAACAGTTGTTTCAGATCCATATGGAACTAATGGAACAGTTGTTTCAGATCCATATGGGACTACTGGAACAGTTGTTTCAGATTCATATGGAACTGCATGAGCAGTTGTTTCAGATCCATATGGAACTACTGGAACAGTTGTTTCAGATCCATATGGAACTGCAGGAACAGTTGTTTCAGACCCATATGGGACTACTGGAACAGTTGTTTCAGATCCATATGGGGCAGGTGATTCTGATTCAGTTGAAAGGGTAGTTATTTGGGTAGTTGAAGGGGCATCTGTAGATGCTTCAGGATTAGTAACAGAATCAGGAACTGAGGTTGATGATTCTTTATTAGAATCAGCTGTTGTACTTGTAAATTCAGATTCAGTCAATAAAGTAGTTAAAGTGACTTCTGTTGATGTTGTAGAATCAGTAACAGCATCAGGAAAAGAGGATGTAGTTGAGGAAGCTACAGTTGATGTTTCAGATTCAGAACTTGTTGATGCCGATTCGAATGATGATTCAGTTGATGTTTCAGAGTCAGAACTTGTTGATGCTGATTCGGATGATGATTCTGTTGATGTTTCAGAGTCAGAACTTGTTGAAGCTGATTTGGATGATGATTCTAATGATGTTTCAGAACTTAGGCCAGCGTCTGGTGATTGTGTTGAGGTCACTGCATCTGATCTTAAAGGAGATTCTGTACTTGCTGATTCAGAAGATGTTGAGTCATTAGCAGAGGCAGATGGTGCTGGAGTTGTCTGCCCATTGTTAGTAAATTGAGCATCACCACAACCAGTTGGATTCAAACCCCGATTAAATATTTCAACAGTGGTAGAAATTTGTCCAAATGCTTCATCTTGATTGTTAATGACATCTAAAAAGTTTATTCCTTGCCAGTCTCTCTGCATCGGCCACCCATTGGGACGTGGATCCAAAACTCCCCCTCTTGGGCCACATAGTAGTGATGCAATATCTCCTTCATTAACGGATTGATCAGGAAGATCATGTACAAATACAACTAGCCTGTATTTTACTGCTTGCTGACTCTTTCCTCTAGGTAATACAAGAGATGGAGGCCAACCACAATCATCCCGACTTCCCCAAATCAGAGAACTCTGATTGTCCGCTCTAACAATTGTTTCTTCATTAGCTCCTGACAGAGTGTGTGTAAATCTGTCCAACTCAAAATAAAATTTGTTGTTGGATAAAAATTTTTCATTTACTAAATAAATTCTTACTATTACTTTATTGGATGAGCCATTCCCATTTCTTAGTCTTATATTAAAATGGAATGGCATGTGATTGAGTTGATATTTTGAACCCTCAGATTCCCAAAATGTTTCAACCTGGTTAGGACTTGAGCATCTGGATTGTAGCTCAACACTTGTCACCACAAGACCACCTGGTGGTAATATTTGTTCTCTGGTGTATGCTGGTTGATTTTTGAGGAAGGTTTCGTATTTGTTGTCAACTTCATAGTGCCACCGGTAAAATATGGGATCTCTTCCAGCAACTGGCGTATTCCCGATTAGTCCAACTTTGCTTTTGTCAACAATGCAATCCGCGCTGATCAAATTATGGCCATTGTTATGATAGTCTATACATTCTTCAAAGAATGCATCAAAGTTGTCATTTCTTTCAGCTAGTTTACTGTTGCAGCGGGCTTCAAGTCGTGCTAGTACACCATTTGTTGCTTGAGTTATCCTGCATGTTGGAGTGTTGCTTGAGTGTTGTTCACTTAAGAATCCAGAGGGATCAGTCTGTGGAGTTAGGGAATAATATGAGTTAAACTCCTCATTCCTTAATGCAGCACTAAACGGCTGAACAGGAGGAAGACCTTCAGAATCTCTTTCATCAAAATACCTATACAAATACAGTCTATGAAAGTAGTAAAAGTGCTCCTTGTCTCTTGGCATCCCCCCATGTATAGCATGAAATTGTTTGTGACTGGTATGTAAATTTTCATCCTCTCTAAAGTAATCAATTGTATCCTCAGGTGCTTGTGCTCGTGAAGGAACTTTAGGTAAATTCTCCCAGATAGTTTCACCAGCTCCAGCTCTAAATCCTACTCCGCCCTTCTTAATATTTTCTGTTCTCAAATTAGGAAATATCTTTGGAGGGTCCAGCTCTAATTGATTAATATCTGTATTATTACTTATTTTACAAGCTTTAATGTATGCAGTTTTTACAAGGTCTTCATTGACTTCTTTACTTTTTGTGCATTTGGAGAAAATATCTTTAGCTATTTCTAGAAAAGCATCAACGTCGTTGTCAACTTCCTCTGCAGCTTCAGTGTAGAGCTGGACCATTTTTGCCAGTGATTCCTCATATTCTTTACTAAATGGGCTGCATTTTTCAGTGCAAGTAAACGTCTTAGCCTTTTTAAACAAGTCATTTGCAATTTTTTCTTCAGGAGTAGCATCTCCTTTTGAACGGAAAAAACTATTTTTTCCCTTCTTAGCATTGATTTTCTCAATGTTTTCACGGCTCAACAGTTCAGAGGCTTTTTCCCTCTTGGATTCTTCTTTTCCCAAACAGTCTAGAAAATTAATATTTTTACCACCTGCGATTTATTTCTTTACTTTGGTAAATGAGCACATGGACACTAAGCTATTAAATTAAAAGAATTGGAACTTTATGCAATCGATAGAAACAAAACTACAAACATGCAGATTTTGTTTTCAGGTTGGATTATATAATTTCTAAAACTAGAAAAAAGAGCAATGGCTTATTCACCAAACTTAAACAACAGGGAGGGAGGGAACTCTTAGAGGCCATGAGCGTCTGCCATACAGACACGACCCTCCCATATTTGCTAGGCAGACCGAGCCAGCGAGCCTCCACTACGTAGTAAGAGCCTCAGCTATGTGCAGTAATCGAGCCTCAATGGGCAAAAACATCGAAATTTCGTGCAATTTTTACTCGAAACGTAAGCAAATCTTTGCGCAATTTTTGCACGATTTTCGTGCAAAAAAATCGACTGGAAACCCTATTTATAAGATTTATGTTTTGCAATAAAACATTTCTTATGCAGTAAGGAGGCTATTTGGAAATTCATTTCTGAATTTAACTTATTTTATTTTGTTTTAATCTATGATTAAAGAAAAACCTTTTTTGGGAAATTATTTTTAGATTTAGATTATTTGCCAACTTCAAATTTTTGATTATCTTAATCTGATAAAAATTTCAAAAAAAGATATTGCTTAAATCTAATATTATAAAATATAAAATAAAATTTCTCTTAGAATTTTTTCTCCAAATGTTTTCCTTTTTGCGTAAAAAACGTTTCAAGTTTAAACCACTTTACTAGTCATAATTAGTCACTATTCATAATAATTGATTAATAATTCTGATCTTTGATAAATTTGTTATGCCACTAGGTCGAAAAAAATACAACAAACTCTTTACCATATGTAAAAACCAAGAGTTTTAAGGAAACTATTCTGTATAGCAGAGGCTCTTACTGCATGGCGGAGGCTTGGTCTGCAAATCTGGGAGGCTCATGGCGTCCAGGGGTTCCCTCCCTCCGATAGGTGGAGTGATAGCAACCAAATCCAACTCGAACTTGTGCTTATGCCATTGTTAGACGTTGAGTATAAACTGAATTAACTTTAATAACTAAATTTTGTACTGCCAATGTTAAAGTTAACAGCTTAAAATAAAAAAACCATTAAATAATACTGACATAAAAATATTTTCTTACTTGTCACTGAGACTACAAGTAAGCATCCTGAAACAAAGGGATGTTTTTCAAATGATTAACAATTTTTTGAGTTTAAAAGTTTAAATAAATTTTCAATAAGTCACCTGAAACCCTTACCAGAAGAGCCCAATTCATTTCTGAAAATTAATTATGTTTTAATAAATCTTCGTACTTTTCCTTTGTTTACCCTATTAAGGCTGGAGAGTCTGACTCTATGTAAAGACGGTGGGGGGGGGGGGGAGGAAAAATGTAAAAGGATAATAACATTTCAACGTCACACGTATTCCTTCCTATATTCATTTAACAAATGCTCTTCAAACTGTAACTTGAATAACAAAACATTATAGACTATTTTAGAAGAAAATAAAACACGTTATGGACTTTTTTAGAAGAAAATAAAAACATTATGGACTATTTAACAAGAAAATAAAAACATTTCGGACCGTTTAACAAAAAAATAAAAAACAACCGTCCTGACCCGAGCCTTTGCATGAAAAAATTTTGCAAAAAAACTTTAAGATTACTATTTTATAAAATTCAAGCAAGTTCAAGGGGAATGTGTCAAAAATGAGAGAGCTAGGGCAAACACAATCAATTGTACAAGGTGTCTCAATAAACATGGGAATTGAGAGACGACTTGAATATTGTCTTTTATTTCCGATAATTAATAAATGAAAAGAGATTAAAAGTCTAAAGAGCTTTCTAAAACGTGGTCCACCTTCTATGTATCTTTAAAATAGACAGAGATATTAATCATTTGAACAGTTTTGTTGATTTTCTAAACGGGAATTAAGGCCGAATTTAAAGAATTTGAGCCGCGGTTTAAATTTAAGCCGCGGCTTATTTATGGTTGGTTTCATTTAAAATTGTATCAAATGTTTCAAGATTTAAGCCGGCGGTCAATTTAAACCGGGTTTTGGCGGTTTTAAGCCGCGACTTAAATACTTTAATGGTACACCATATTTTGGAAATCTCGAGACTAGGAGTTTTAGGTGTTAAATGTTTTAAATTTGATACTACAAAATAATTTTTATAAAATAATCCCGCTTGGAACAAAGACGATATAGAAGTCGTCATTTAATTCCCATGTTTATTGGGACACCCTGTATCATCATAAACTATATAGTATATAAACTATATATATAAACTATTCGATTATTTCCCTTCAATTCCGGATTAACTTAAAATTCAATTATATTCATGAGAACATAATTTAACACTGCTTTTGTTAAATAGAAATTAGAAGAAGCCTAATCAAATACGGTTGCAAAAATCCTTCTTTATTTTGTAAAAAAGGAACACACAAAACATATAATTTCTGCCTTTTCTTCGATAGGGGTTTAGACATAAACATAACAAGTTTCTATTGTGGCTTTTATTTTGTAAAAGCTTTTTACAGTCTTCCATAAACTTCATAGAAAGATGTAATTTAAGAACACAAATAGCAGAATATTATATATTATTGAAATTATTATTTCATAAAGAAATTAACGTAGACTATAAACATGTTTCAAGTTTTATTTCATATTTATATTCTTGATCAATTCAACATCTGTACTCGGCCAAACATTCAAAAACCTGACTCACTCGAAAACAAATCTGAAATAAATCATAAACTTGAGCATAATTAAGAAATATATGTAATTTAAAAGCCTCGAGAAATAAATACGTAAACATGTCTCATCTATATTAAATGTGTACGTACTTTGTTTGTTTGTATCCGGCCAAAAATCGGCTGAACCGATCGGGCCTAAATTTGGAAATGAGCTCAAATGACCCAGGGATATAAATCAAAACTACAAAAAGTTGAATTCGTAAAATTTAGAAAATTCACAAAAAATTGTAAATCCGGAAAATTTTTGTTTAAACAGTGTGGATTCTCAAAAACATGCAACAAAGAGAAGCTATCAATCAAAAAAGCTTTTCTTTTATTACTCTACAAAAAGCTGGTTAACAATTAAATCTTAAATAAAAGTCGTCTTCATTATATTGATACAATCGCCTACCGCCGTAATATATGAATTCTAAATAAGGAGAGTCGAAACTAATTCTAGAAAACTTAAAACCTGAAAACAAGAAATAAATAATCCAAACAATTTATCACTTTAATCCCATTTATTATTATTCTAATAATAACACTGTTTCATAAAACACTATATTCAACAAGATAAGAGTTTTATTTCAATCACAATAAAACACAGTTCGTATTAAAGTTCAAAATTTAAATGTTTAAATTATTATTATTATCTGCAAATAGTTTAAATAAATCGTAACTGCGTAGTTTAGAATAAATATGTAAGATTTCATGGAAAAACAATCCTAGATACAGGTGAGAATCAGAAAACTTTGAAATATGAAGACGACATTTAAGCATAAATGTATTTAGACTTGGTACAAAGCAGAAAGTTTTACTCTTTTGAAATGAATCTGTCTACACTGTAAATACAATGTATAGTGAACAATTGCTGTGTCAAACGTTTCACGGACTTTCTAAAAGTCGTCTTCCTGTTGCGGAGTTTACTGGTTTTCAATGTAGCATTTTATATGTTTCCGTAAGAATTGATAAAATCTTCCAAGTTATGCCAGGGGGCGCTTCTCGTCAGTCCTCTGCTTGTAGAAAGTAACCTTTAATGAGAAAAGTATATTTTCAAGTGTTTATTTACGCAACTTTCGTTTTTTTAAACTATATTTATTAATTCAAAGAACCAAAGAGTAACAAAAAAATAACTATTGACGTCCAGTTCTAGAAGCCTGTTCATTTTGTCTAAGTCGTTCAAGTCTTTTTAAACACAATTTACAAAATCGAAACTAGCATTTAGTTCATATTTCTAAATAATGCAAAAGCGAATTTCTATTCTAAGGCTATGCCTTAAAATATATATATTCTAAGGGTTGTACAGATTATATTTTTGACACAGCAATTTCCAAATCTCAAAGCGGACTCAAATAAGTTGGAGCTAAATAAACACACATGCTTATATATTACCTCTTCATGTTTTGTTAAATATCTTTTTTTAAGACTTTTTAAGGAGCCAAAAAGCCAACGCCAACTAAAGTGGACTGAATGGTTTTAAAAAACTGCGTGCATAGTCGTTTATAAATATGAGATTAATGATAAGTATAAATTACCCTAAACTATGCTTTAAATGATCTGCAGTACAATGACCGAAGAAAAGGTCCTTTTTAGTGTAGAGTGAAATATTTAAGTTCTTTATGACATTAAACCAACGTTGGACAAGCGGTAAAACTTCTTCTGAAAACCTTGAATGTAGAGTTTTGATGAAAAAAATTCTCAATTTGAATCATACCTTGGCCAAGATATCTCTTCCCTTCTCCATATAACGGTTACCAGCATTCACCTTCATATCAACATATTACATAAAATTCAAGAAAATTCATGCAAACCCTTGCCTATAGCAAATAAAAAAATGTGTTTTTTGACAAATCTTTTACTAATATTATTGAAGTAAAATAGAAAAAGATTTCGATGCTTTTATAAGTTTAAAGATATGTTCGGTTCTTAATTTGAATTCAATCGCTATTCAATTTTTGACAAAATAAAGTCATTCTAAACTTTTTTATCTAAAAGGTATAAGCTGATAAAAAATATAAAAGATACAAAGTTTAAAAGAATGTTTAATAGGTCGACACATTGCAGATAAGGCACAGCTTGATAGGAAAATGTTAAATATGGGTGATATTGAATACAAAAATGATAAAAAATAACTCACTGTGTGTGACGGGTGAGGTGTGTATGGAGGTGGAGAGTTAGGATTACTACGGACTGCAACAAGTCGACTCTTCTGTACAGACCACATCTAGTCAGTCATGCTACTAGATTACCCAAAAAGGATGAGACTGCAACGACGATTAAAAACTCTTTAAATATGACGATCCCCAGTTTAAATTACGTCTTGTGCATTTATAATAGTATTTTATTGGCTTATTTAATGATTTGGCAAAGAAAGAAACAAGTTTACAGTCGCAAAGAGAACCATGAATTTCAAGAAACAGAAAAATTAACTACAGTGGTCTCTGAAGTTTCATCCTTTGTGGGTAACCCTGTATATTTATCATCATATAAGATATTCCCGTCCCCTTATTAGAAATATCTGTCATGGTATTATATATTCCCAACCCCCCATTAGGTATATCTATCATGGTATTATATATTCCTGTCCCCTTCTTAGATATATCTATCATGGTATTATATATTCCCATCCCCTTATTAGATATATCTATCATGGTATTATATATTGCCAACCCCCCATTAGGTATATCTATCATGGTATTATATATTCCCGTCCCCTTATTAGATATATCTATCATGGTATTATATATTCCCATCCCCTTATTAGATATATCTATCATGGTATTATATATTCCCAACCCCCCATTAGATATATCTATCATGGTATTATATATTCCCGTCCCCTTATTAGATATATCTATCATAGTATTATATATTTCCGACCCCTTATTAGATATATCTATCATGGTATTATATATTTCCGACCCCTTATTAGATATATCTATCATGGTATTATATATTTCCGACCCCTATATATATATGTATATATATATACTTATTTATACACATACATATATATATATAAATATATCATCGTATTAGATATTCCCGTCCCCTCATTATATATATCTATCATAGTATCAGATATTCCCGTCCCCTTATTTCATATACCTGTCATCGTATTAGATAATCCCGTCCTCTTATTAGATATATCCTTCAATGTAATTTTTATATCTGTCACCATTTTCAAAATATCTGTCACCATTTTCAGTATATCTGTCACCATTTTCAATATATCTGTCACCATATTTAATAAATCTGTCACCATATTCAATATTTCTGTCACCATTTTCAATATATCTGTCAACATATTCAATATTTCTTTCACCATATTTAGTATATCTGTCACCATATTTAGTATATCTGTCACCATATTCAATATATCTGTCACCATATTCAATATATTTGTCACCATATTTAATATATCTGTCACCATATTCAATATTTTTGTCACCATTTTCAATATATCTGTCAACATATTCAATATTTCTGTCACCATATTTAGTATATCTGTCACCATATTTAGTATATCTGTCACCATATTCAATATATCTGTCACCATATTCAATATATCTGTCACCATATTCAATATATCTGTCACAATATTTAATATATCTGTCACCATATTTAATCAATCTGTCACCATTTTCAATATATCTGTCCCCGTATTCCACATATCTGTTTCCATTTTAATATATCTGTCATCATATTCTAAATATCTATCACTTTATTACATATATCTATCGCTATATTCAATATATCTATCAGGATATTGAATCAATATCAATATTTAAAATATAGTTTGTGGAGAATTTTATTTAATGTTAAAAATACCTGGAAGACACAGCAAAGGCTGACCAGAAGCATAAACATAGTGAAAAAGAAAAGAACCTGAACAAAATTTTTTCTCAAAACAACTTTTTATTTTTTTCTCCGAAAAAATATTATTAAACTTAAATTTTTTAAAGCAATTTTAGGATATCCTTACAAAATTTTCAGATTTAAACTTAAATATAGAATTAAATTAACTCTAGTCCATATATGTACACTGTACATTTAACGTAGAGTTTTTTTAACTCTTGCACATTCTCTCTGGCAGAAATTAGTTCACAAAAGAAAAAAATGTTTTACACAAAACAACAAAAAAGTAGCAATTATTTCTTTAGTACTACTTATGCTGATAGATAAGTTCCATTTCAAGTTAACACATACTTCAGAATTATTTTTCAGATTCTTTCTTTCAGTTTTATTTCTTTAGTAATTATATAAATATTTATAAATTATAAGTAATTTATTAATATTATATCAATTTTAATCAATTAATTTGTTAATTCAATTTACAGATTATCAGTAACTAATTAATTAATTACAGACCTGAAGCCAGTTAATGTAGAACCAAACATACCAAGTCTGGGTGTAGACACGAACCTTTAAAAGTTACAATAGCTTTGTTCATTGTTTAATCCTTGTAGCTCTTGTACCAGTAGATATAGATAATTTTCTCTTTGTTGAAAAACGAAGAAAAAACAAAAAACGAAACGGTCGTTTTTAAAAACTATCGTTTTAAAAAAAAGATCGTTTTTTAGAAAGGAAACGGTCGTTTTTAAAAATTGAAATTAATTGGCATAAAACTCCGACTCCAAAAACTATTGTTTTAGAAAACAAGGATAGATTTTTCAAAAATTATCTTTTTAGAAAACAAGGATAGATTTTTCAAAAACTATCTATTTAGAAAACAAGGATAGATTTTTTAAAAACTATCGTTTTTCGTTTTTTAAAAGTTCAAACGAGTGGTTTATTTTTAAAGAAAAAGAAAAACGAAATGAAAAAAGATCGTTTCAGCAGAATATTTGAGTACAGTGATGGGCCTGTAAGATTAGCACAGCAGAGTACATACCTCGCAAAGCGAGACATTAAATGTATTTGTACAGGATTCAGCACTGTACACAAGATTGGTTCCATTTTCATTATCCTCCCATCTAAAATATCACATCTTAAAGGTATTGTCATGTAATCTTCTTAATGTCCGAGACTCACAATAGTACAAGGTTCTAATGCAAGGGAAGTTATTTAAGAGGTGTACGCATCCTTTGCACTGCAGTGTACTGTCTTTGGGCGGAAAAGTAAACACAAAACGGATGTCAGAGCCTGACATGGAATCCATTTTCACAAAAATAATTTATGAAATATTCTGGTCATAGGAAACTATTATGTGAATTTTCAAAATTATCCAAATTAAATGCTTTTTACCTCCTCGGATACTAAACGAACACTGATATATGCATCTATTCTTGTTTACAAATTCCGCCCAAAGAGAACTGGTTTCAACATGTACGCAGAGTATACACGACCGCAATTAACTTTCCTTGCATTAATACCTTGCAATAGTACATTACACACCTTTGGCTGATAAACAATGCATGACAATGGTGGTTTCTCTTTAAAGGAATTGAGTCTTTGACCCAAACTCTGATTTTCTAATTCCCATATCTTTACAACCCAATATCGTAGACCTTAGATATTTCAAACTATGTTATGTCAAATAATCTATGTTTGAAATATCAAAGGTTTACACTATCAAGTAGCAAAGGTATATAGGGATTAGACAATTCGAGATTGTTACAAATTCCTTTCTGATGAAAATATCAAAATCAACCACATTTTAAACTGGAAAAAACGACGATATCCTCTACATTATTGATCAGATAAAGACTTTAAAGGATACCCTTGTGATTTGGCCGTGTCGCTCCAAAGATAAAGAATCACGTAAAGTTAAAAATTCATGAATTGTAAGTTAATCTTGCATGCAGGAGCATGTTGCGATGAATATTGGTGTATGCAAACGCATGGAGTTTGTTTAAGACGTTACCTATGACTGATATAACAACTGTTAATTCTGATATACAGCTGTCAGGACAGTTACCTAATTGTCAGACATTTGACAGCAGGGCTACTATCAGGAGAAACATCAATATCTCCAGCAATATCTTCATCCACAGGCTCATCTACATCAAAAACTATATTTATTTGTATAAAGGACTTGAGTCTTTTCCACGCAGTCAGTTTGTAATGGATATATCTTTGCAACCTGATGGTCTAAACCTAAGATATTTCAAACATAGATTATTTGATCTAACATAATTCATAGCTTGAAATATCTAAGGTTTACGAAATTGTACATAAATTTCACTAGAATGGGATCATTCATTTGGCGTACTATACCGTTTTGCCTCATAAAGCCTGTATTTGTACTGTACGGCTTGTCTTGGCTAGTTGAAATTTGGCCCGGTACATGAAATGAACTGGAATGTACCGTGATTGGGTTGCAAAGATAAAACTTTTCTTGTAATATGACTGGTATGTAAACATTAAAATCTTGGAAATTTTCTCTTCCTATTTGCGAAGGAAATAAAGGTACAAACCTACTCCGAACCAGGTCCAAGTATCAGGTGCTAGCTGTATACCAGATGTAAATACTCCAGCCATAACATCATCCATCAGCTATTAGAAACATACTTAATGAAAACCTTTAGTAGATATGTCAAGTCCTTGCATTTGTACACTAGCCTATGAATATAATTGTTAGTTTTGGGAAAATATTTACTAAACAATTAAAGTTAAAAACATTTTCAAGCTTTAATTCTCTGCAGGATGGGGGGTTTGTGAAAATAAATACCCTGAATTTTATACAGCATATTTACCTATTTTCTAAATTATTTTATGAAATTATACATATTGAAGGGAACTTTTTAGATATATCAAACTATGAATTATGTCAGATTAAAAAATTTTAGTCTAAAATATCAAAGCTTTACACCATCAGATTGATAAGATTAGAAAATTTGAGTTTGTGACAAAGACTTAATTTTTTTAAACAGAATAAAGTCGTAAAAAAGTCATGAAAAATAATTCCCCGCTTTTATGTCAAGTAGTTTTCCTGCCACAAAGTGAAGCTAGAGATAAGAGAATTTCTAGAACTTACTTCAATAAATATTGCGCAATATGGGGGGAAATATGTATAGTATATACATATCACAGTAGAAGTAAATATTTCCATTTGCTGATTGCGCCGATTGAAGGATTCATATCTCTGATTGGATAATGAGATAGATAGAAAGATAGATGTTACCGCCATACTATTTTTATTGGTTCAGAATAGACAACAAACACATGACTGAACCCTGATTGGATCAGGCGCTAATGGACTTGGCATACAGGAGTGGTGCTGTTTAAAGCGGTAAAACATTTGTTTCAAATTTTCAGTAAACAGTCGGAAGTCTCATATTTTCTATTAAAAAAAAAGTTTGCAGTCTCATATTTTCTACTTGCAAAATAATTGTTGTCTACATAATAATGGTAAAATTTGAAAAATAAATGAAAAAATTTACCCGCTTTTTAAGACGATTTTTTAATCTTAATCAAACAGAGTTTTTAGAAAGATGAGAAGTGTTAGTATCTTTCCGAATGAAAAGTTTATCTTAGGTTGAATTAAAAAGATTTGACTCATTTTATTTGTTGAACTGATAACGTTTAAAAACATATTTAGTTCAGAGTCATTTACTGCTATTCAGCTAATTTTCCAATAAAAGATTTTCTTGATATTAACATTTTAGCACAATTTTTTGCTATATTCCATAAGTTTTTCAAAGTTTTTAATATATCTAAATAGGGTTTCCAGTCGTAATTACGTTACGCGTAATTACGCGTAATTACGCGTAACACTTTCTTTCACTTACGCAGGAGCATTACGCGTAATTACGCGTTTATTACGTTTACGAAAGAAAGTTTTGTTTTGCGTAATTAATGCGTGATTACGCGAAATTACGTAATACGAAACAATTCCGTAATAAATAACAACCATGTCAAACATATTTTGACGATTTTATTTCGCCATATTTTTAAACAAGGAAGGTAAACTTAAGAAAGTAGGTTGAAATATTAACAAGTCGTTGAAAATTAAAAATTTTAAAGATTATGTATTTTTTGATGAAAATAAGTTGTTGGTCCTTTGTTAATCTTTTTAGTTGTCGAACGTGAAAATTACATCAACATAGTATTGGCTGAAATTCTGATTCAACTTGCGTGACATTATTTTCCTTGTAAGTTAGTTGTTTTCTTTAAATTAAAAGTTAAAACTTCAAAATTTCATAGACGTAATTACTGCAAAATTTCGCAAAATTACTTTGTAGAAATTACGCGATTTGAAGTTTCACTTCATAATTAATAAAAAATTTCGCAAAATTACCTCGAAGAAATTACGAGAAATTAGGCCGTAATTACATGTAATTATAGTTTCGCTTATTACACATAATCATTACAAAATTTCGCGAAATTACATTGTGGAAATTACGCGAAATTACGCTGTAATTACGCTAAATTATAGTTTCGCTTATTACGCGTAATCATTACGTAATTTCTCAAAATTACGTTGTAGAAATTAAGCGAAATGGATATTTCCCAAATTACGCATAATCCTGCGAAATTACACGAAAGGAAAATTATTACGCGTAACTGCACATAATTACGCGTAAGAGAATAATCTATTTCATTGGAAACCCTATATCTAAACAAAAATTTTAACTTTTGTCATTATGAATTTTGAAAAAAGTGAAATCATTAATTATCTAAAATAATCTTAAAAGTATCAAAATTATTTTTTTCTAATTTTCATCTAAGCAAAATTATTTAGATATAAGAATATGTATTTAACCAGATAGAATTTCTCGTTCAAATGTATATATAATATTAATTCTTTGTGTTTTAAAATCATATAATTTTATTAAGTACATATAAAAGATTGTAAAAAAGCTGATCCCAATTAAATGATAAAATTAAAAGTTTCAAATTCTATGTAAGATGTTAAAAAAACATTAAAGGTAAGTTTTTTACAATACTTTAAATTTATATTTTGAACGTGATTTATGGAACATTGAAAAATTAATCAGTCTTTAATTAGCATATTGAACTATTATACTTAAGTATACTTAGTTAAGAATCATCTGTGTAATAATATAGCTTTCAGATACTGAAGTGCAGTAAAGAGTATACAAATATTTTTTTTAATTGCACTGTTTTGCAAAAAGGAATAGAATTGTTAGAATAAACCATATTTATCCAAAACTACACAAAAGCTTTTTTTGCGATGGATTTGATTTAAATTAGCTAAACAATTGCAAATATGATTATTTGATCAACAAAAGAGTCAATTATTTTTCAGAAATGAATTGGGCTACTTTGGTATGGATTACAGGTGATCTATTTAGAATAAAAAAATTATATTTATGACATCAAATTTTTATTTGTTGATGTTATTTTTAGGATGTTTTCTTGTGATATCTGTGTCAAGTAAGAAACTTTACCTAAGCATTAATTATGATTACTTTAAACCTACAGAACATATATTTTATTTTAGAGTTTTACCTTCTCCAATTTATAAAGACTCAAATGATTGAACAACTATTATTTGTTACATCAGAGATATAGATTCATAACTGTAATTTCAGAATGTTGGGGAAAAGAAGAAACTAAGGGGGATAAAATTTCCGAGTTGTTGAGTCCTGAAAACATTAAAAAACTTGCTGCAAAGACGGGAAAAAATGGTCTTTTCCGTTCAAATGGAGGAAATAGTCAGGAAGAAAAAATTGCCGATGACCTGTTCAAAAAAGCGAAGAAGTTCACTTGCACCCATAAATGCAGCCCATTTAGTAAAGAATATGAGGAATCATTAGAAAAAATGGTTAATCTCTATGCTGAAGCTGCAAAAAAAGTTGACTATGATATTGATGCTTATGTTGAAATAGCTAAAGACGTTTTCTCCAAATGCACAAAAAGTAAAGAAGTCAATGAAGACCTTGTAAAAACTGCATACATAAAAGCTTGTAAAATAAGTAATAATACAGATATTAAAGAATTAAAACTGGACCCTCCAAAGATATTTCCTAATTTGAGAACAGAAAATATCAAGAAGGGCGGAGCAGGATTTAGAGCTGGAGCTGGTGAAACTATCTGGGAGAATTTACCTAAAGTTCCTTCACGAGCACAAGCCCCAGAGGACAAAATTGATTACTTTAGAGAAGATGAAAATTTACACACATTCCATAAACAATTCCATGCAATACATTTGCGGATGCCAAGAGCAAATGAGCACTTTTACTACTTTCATAGAATGTACTTATTTAGATATTTTGATGAAAGAGATTCTGAAGGTCTCCCTCCTGTTCGACCGTTCAGTGCTGCATTAAGGAATGAGGAGTTTAACTCATATTATTCCCTAACTCCACAGACTGATCCCTCTGGATTCTTAAGTGAACAACACTCAAGCAACACTCCAACATGCAGGATAACTCAAGCAACAAATGGTGTACTAGCACGACTTGAAGCCCGCTGCAACAGTAAACTAGCTGAAAGAAATGACAACTTTGATGCATTCTTTGAAGAATGTATAGACTATCATAACAATGGCCATAATTTGATCAGCGCGGATTGCATTGTTGACAAAAGCAAAATTGGAATAATCGGGAATACGCCAGTTGCTGGAAGAGATCCCATGTTTTTCCGGTGGCATTATGAAGTTGACATTAAATATGAAACCTTTCTCAGAAATCAACCAGCATACACCAGAGAACAAATATTACCACCAGGTGGTCTTGTGGTGACAAGTGTTGAGCTACAATCCAGATGCTCAAGTCCTAACCAGGTTGAAACATTTTGGGAATCTGAGGGTTCAAGATATCAACTCAATCACATGCCATTCCATTTTAATATAAGACTACGAAATGGGAATGGCTTATCCAATAAAGTAATAGTAAGAATTTATTTAGTAAATGAAAAATTTTTATCCAACAACAAATTTTATTTTGAGTTGGACAGATTTACACACACTCTGTCAGGAGCTAATGAAGAAACAATTGTTAGAGCGGACAATCAGAGTTCTCTTATTTGGAGAAGTCGGGATGATTGTGGTTGGGCACCATCTCTTGTATTACCTAGAGGAAAGAGTCAGCAGGCAGTAAAATATAGGCTAGTTGTGTTTGTACACGATCTCCCTGATCAATCTGTTAATGAAGGAGATATTGCAACATTGATATGTGGCCCAAGAGGTGGTGTTTTGGATCCACGTCCCAATGGGTGGCCTATGCAAAGAGACTGGCAAGGAATAAACTTTTTAGATGTTATCAACAATCAAGATGAAGCATTTGGACAAATTTCTACCACTGTTGAAATATTTAATCGGGGTTTGAATCCAACTGGTTGTGCTGATGCTCAATTTACTAACAATAGGCAGACAACTCCAGCACCATCTACCTCCACTATTGCCTCAACACCAGCTGAGCCAGTAAGTACAGAATCATCTGCGACAACAATTTCTAGTACAGTATCATTAACTTCAGCACCAGACACTGGCTCAAATTCTGAAACAACAACTGAATTTGAATCAGCAAGCAATCTAATAACAACCAGTTCTGATGACACTGACACAGATTCTGAAACATCAACTGTTTCTGAATCAACAAGTTTAGAACCACTGGTAACAACAAGTTTTGATGTAACTGGCTCAGATTCTGGAAAATCAACTGTGCCTGAATCAACAAGTTCAGAACCACTTGTAACACCAAGTTCTGATGGAATATCAACAACATCAGCAACTTCAGAAACATCATATACACCACTTTTAACTACCCCATCAACTGATTCTGAATCAACAAGTCCTCCATCACCAATTACAACTAATTCTCATGCAGTAACACCATCTTTAACATCAGTTTCTCAAGCTCTGTTATCAACCTTAGGGTCTGCTGGTGGTTTAGAACCTGATAAAACAACTGAGGCACCTTTGACTACTATGTCCTCTGAATCAGGAACAGAGAGTTCAGATGCTGGATCATATGGTGCTGTAAACACACCACCAACTGAAGCATCAACAAGCGGGGGAACTGGAAAGGTTGAAGCATGCATTGATGGTCTTTGTTACATAGTTTCAAAAGAATGTAAAGACAATGAGCCTTCTGCAAAACAATTTTGTGAACAAGCTAACATGGCATTAGTCAAAGTTCATGGATTGGGAAAACTTTACAAAATAGTTTCTAAAGCAAGAGAATCAATAGTCAATGACAAAGCAAGATTTTGGACTGATCAGAATGAAAAGAAGGTGAGCTGTAGAGTTATCCTTGGAGCACACAAGGACAGCACTGTTGGATTAGGTTGGGTACCTTGTCAGAAACCAGGTTGGGATAAAGCTAAATACTATGCATTATGTGAGCCTCATGAGAAGAAAAGTGGATACTCTACAAAGAAAAGGGGTTACACTCGTAAACATTAAAGATAATCAATTCATAGGATGTTAATAAAGTATCTATATTAAATTATGAACATTTTTCTTTTTGGTTATGTAACAAATATTTAGCAACCAATAGAAATTAGGGAATTATTTTCGTTTTTAATGGAATTTCTAAAATTATTTCGACCTGATAATTAAATAATGATTTAAAAAAAATATTTATACAAAAATACCTGGCGAGCTATTTGATTCCTAAAGTCCACCGAGTTGAGGATGTTGTCCTCAAAGTCATCATTGATGCTGATTAGCTCCCCCTTGACCTCATTGCAACTGAGGCTAGCTCCTGGGAAGCTAAAATTGCCCTGAAAAATGTTCTTATTGTAAAGGCATGATTCAACACTGACAGTTAGATGTTGATTTCCAACATTAAAAGCTTTTTCAGTTTAAATATGAATTAGATATCCATTAGATAATAGTTTTGAAAAGTTCATATTTTCTATTGTGATTTCTCACAAAAATGACTTTTCAAGCTAGAAATTTCCACATTATTTTTCAAATAAAGGTAAATTAGGGCATCATTTTGATAAAGCTACAGTCCCTTTAAGCAATAAAATTAAAAATTCTAACTGAATTGAAAAAAATAGTTTACTAATTCTTAGTTATTTTACCCTATTAAATCTATAACAGCTGTACACAGGACTTGTCGGTCCTTTCTCCCAGAATTCACCACGTGTTTCTTTGTACTTCGGCTCTCCAGCGTAAAAGTAGCCTTCAGGGCAAGCTGAAATGATTCTGGAAATAGTATCAACCTGATTTATCAGTTTGGTCCTTCTCCAAGCAATTTGACTAATTAAACATCCATTTTTCTCCTTTACTATATCATACTTTTTGTCGGCAGAATGCTTTTTAGGTTAAAAAAAAGTACCAATATATGGTACCAATTGTGAGACAACCAAACATAGGACAAGACAAACGCAGGACAGGACAAACATATGACAGACAAATACAGGACAGGACAAAAGTGGGAAAAGATAAGCTTCCCTTTAAATGAAGCTTTAGTGCAAACTGAGCTCGCATTTAAATTTTCCGCTTGAGTTGTAATTCCTTAAACCCGACTTATGACCCAATCTTCGACCCAACTCTGACAACAGCTTGTGTCATGTGATTGACAGCTGCAAGATCTTTGGCTCGACTTAGGGAGTTAGGCCCACTGAAAATTAGAACAACCTTGATTGGTTTTAGTGGAGAATAAGGCTCAAGGTTGAGTTTTGTTCTCATAAAAACCCGGAATGAGCCAATTCCTACCATGAAAATCCACTAAATAAAAATTTAAACCGGTTTTTAAACTCAACTCTGTGAAAAATAAGATGCTGTGCTGCAGCTTGAATACAAAAGCTCAAGTCGTAAATAAGGCCCAACGACAGCTTAGACCCGTGCGATATTTTCCCAAATTTTTAAAATCGCAGGCTCTGCAGTGAATATTTTTATAATATAATATCTGTTGCCATTCTAAAAAATCTCAAATTTACATTTTTTTGCAAAATGGATATACACAGATGAAAGAACCTGTCAAATCTTTCTTTGGGTTGTTTAGAAAGATGAAAATTTCCCTGTATGATAATTGAAGGACTGCAGTATGGTTTTGGTGAATTATATTGACGTACTAAGCCTAGGGGTGTCAGAAATGATTTTTTTTTGCATTTTTTTGAAGACGTCCAATAAACCTAAAAAAGTTTAATTTTGATAAAACTTTTTGTTCTGGATGATTACAAATATCTATCTAAAACTTTCTTAAACCGGCATATTTTTTGAGTTTGAGTTCAAGTAAGTATTAATAAATATTGCTTTATATCGAGTAGATATCCTTATACATATCGATGTGAAACAAAAAAAATTATTTCTGACACCCCTAGGCTTTGTACGCAAATATAATTCATCAAAACCATACTGCAGTCCTTCAGTTATCATACAGGGAAATTTTCATCTTTCTAAACATCCCAACGAAAGATTTTACAGGTTCTTTGTCAAAAAAAAATAATATTTTTACATTTTGTCCAACACGGTTTTAAAAAACTCCAAGCTTTTTATTGGAAATTAAGTATATGACCAGTTTCCTTTTTTTATTTTGTTCACAGGGTAAGGTGAAAGGTCTTCATGATATTATTGTAACTGGTGTGAGCTCAATAGCTCAGAATAAGGATAGTTCCATTGATGTAACCCATTCAGTTCTCATTAGAACCCAAAGCTAAACTCAGATTGCATAGTTCCATTCAGTACTCATACAGACCCTGAGCTAAGCTCGGATTGGAAGTAGTCTGGCCTATAAACAGGACAACATATTAGCTCTTTTGTATATAGCTATAGGTCGGACAGAAAGTGGAGCGGATGATAAAGTTGCCTCAAGAAATATTTGTCGTTAGAAAATGCCAACACAGAAAACATGCTTTGATTGCATGTTTGACTGCGTGGAAAACCAAAGTCATCGTTGCCCTAGATTCTAGTTTAAATTCAAGCCAATAGACATGAACCATGGCTTAGAGGGAGAAAATAGGAACGACCTGGGCTAAAACAGAAAGTGCATTAGTTATGAACAAGGGTCGGAAGACAGAAGATCAACTTGTCATACGAGGGGAATGAAAGCAATAGCTCTCACTCCCTTCTGCTCTAAGAAGGAGGGGGACAGGAGGATAACAAGAGTATGCAATATGCATGGAACCAACCATCACTGGAGATGTCTTAAATCATACTCCGTTCTGCTTTGGGAAGGAGGGGTCAGGATGATAACAATGTGAGGCCAGAGTTTAGAGTCTGAGAGTCCAGAGGGTCAGAGTTCAGAAGTCCAGAGTCACAGAGGTCCAGGAGAGCAACCTGCTTCTAAAGGGGGCCAGAGTCCAGAGCCAAGTGTCAAGAGACTTTAAATATGCGAGTCCCAGATCCAGTCCTCAAATCCCTCCAGAGAGGCCAGACCAGTCCAATGCTCCGATGTGATCTCTCTCCTTTTATTATTTTGGAAAGAGGATTTAGCTTCGATAAGCTGAATAGATCGACAGCTTTATTCAGCTCATTAGTACGCCTTTTAAAAAGCTAAATATTCCTGACTGATTTACAATAGTTATTGATTGTGTTTCGACTAATAGCCGAGACACTTAGAACAAGCCAGTAAACCGTTCGCGGCATTTGAGACAAGTTCATTTTCATCTGCTAGTTCTGAGAAATATTGTTTTACAATTCCCGTTCATTGTGAAAATTTCAGTGTTAAAAGAGGTAAAATCATTTTTAAATTTAACAATAATGTGTTCTCTCAAATCTGGCTTTCTTTTATTACGTGCAAGGACGTAAGTCGTGGATCTGAAATAGTTGTTAGTAAGGACAATCATGACAGCAAGAACGTTTAAAAATACAGACAGTGAATAATTGTATTTTTTTAGTATGGGAGAAAAAAACGCAGAGCGTCGGGAGCAGGCCCCGGCCAAATCTTTCCGAAAGCAACCCCAGAAGAAATTATAGCTCATGGGTCTATGTGTACAGTTGAAAAAAAAACCTTTAATTAACACAGTCGAACCTGAAATCAATGACAAAATGGTTACATTTAAAAATAATTTAGCGCTTGGAAAGGTTCCTGATTTAAAAAAGAAATTTACTCCATGACATGTACCAGGACATGTTCACCAAGACCAGTGTCATGTGGGCAACACAACCTGAGAAACATTTAAATACCCGGTGCAAAGCCTGCAAACAAAGAGTAAGGCATTTAGCGCCACCGTTACGCAAAAATCTACGGTTGCAGTTGGAGGATTGGATCAGGGATAGCGTAATTGAACTCTCCAAGTCACTCTGGACCTCACCTCTGGTCCCGGGAGGGAGGGAAGCCCCGGACGCAATGAGCCTCCACTATGCAGACACAAGCCTCCCAGATTTGCTAGGCAGAACGAGCCTCAGCTATGCAGTAATGAGCAAGCGCAACACATCAAAATGTGCCTGTATAATATAAGAGATTTTTTTTAATTTGTGCTTTAAATTTTAATAAAAGATTTTTTACAAATTATTCAACATAGTGGCATGAGAGGTTTCTCAAAAATGATAAGTTTTTATCAATTAGCATAAATAGTGCCTAATTATTACTAATAAAGTGGTATTTAAAACTTTAAACATTTTTAACATGAAAAGGAAAATATTTAGAGAAAAAATTTTAATTGAATTTCATTTCCTCTTTTATCATCTTTGATTTAAGCAATACCTTTTTTTGTAGTTCAAATCAAATCTAGAAAATTTGGTATTGATTAAATCAAAGTTTATAACAAAACAAACTAAGTTTACTCAAAAAATATTTCTCCAAATATCTTCCTTTCTGCGTAAGAAATGTTTAAAGTTTTAGAATAAATCTTATAAACCACTTTAAGAGTTCATATATGTTTCTAATCATGACAATCGATAAATAACTCTAATCTTTAGTAAAATTCTTATGCCACTATACGTCAAAAAAAAATTGTTAACATTTTTTATTACACATAAAAACCAAGGTTTAAAAAAAGGTGTGCTGTAGAGTGGAGGCTCATTTACTGCATAGCAGAGGCACGGTCTGCATAGCGGAGGCTTGGTCTGCATAGTTGAGGCTCGATCTGCCCAGTAAATCTGGGAGGCTCGTGTCTGCATAGTGGAGGCTCATGGCGTCCGGGGGTTCCCTCCCTCATCTCGGTCACAGAGAAGACCGGGAACACGAGGAAGTGTGTAGATATTCACCAAGCCAATAAATTAACAGTTAATAAATTAACTCCTAATGAATGAAAGGCGGAGAGTCTGTCAGAGAGCTCAGGCTTTTCATATCAGTTTATTTTCTAATTTTTTACTTGTAAATATATTTTCCTATCCTCTGTAGATTTACTTACATCAGTTTTCAGGCTTTAGATTTCCTTTATTTCACACCATCTTTATATGTTAACATTATGTTAATACACGTCAGTTTTATATTCTTACATTGTTGACTGTTGAATGTTTAGGTTTTATTACTTCTAGGAATTAAAGTCGAAACAAACTTAAAATCTTACATAATCCAATAGAATTTCTTATCTTCTGTTTTTGTCATTGATTTTTTGTAGACTTTTAAACTTTTATATTTAAGAAATTGCTTTGTTCCAAAATAGGGCCCATCCTCCCACAACCACCTCCCTCTATAGTTGCGGATGAATTACGTTTTATTAATGCATGATATTAAGTATATTAAATCAGTGTTTTTTATGCCTATTATCAAACTTCTGTAATATAATACTTCAGCATGATAAGTCAGAATTAATGAGATAGAAAGAATTTTTTGTGTGCACAAAATTACACATTAATATGCACTGGAAGGAAAAATACTTTGATTTGAAATGTACTGATTTACCAATTTAAAAATGGATGGGCATATGTTAAAACTTTTTCATGCAATACGTCCCCTAATAGTTAAAGAACAGACAGAATTATCCAGCAGCTAGCCGTTAGTTTTTAACTACAGTGATAACTAGAAAACAATGGAATATGAAGACAACATTACAGCAAACTACTTTGATGTTGTTTCAAAGCAAGACACTTATTGTAGAATCACTAGCTTAGTTAAATGGTCCGTTTACGCTGCAAAATTACTGTTTCTCATGAAACTTGATTCTAGAATTCGTTGTCCTATTTCAGAGTTTTCTGGTTTTCACTGTAATAACTAAACTTTCAGTGCAAAGAACGGGGTTTTCTTGGAGACAAAGAAAAACAAATACAGATCCAGGGCAAGAAACAAGTCTGAATAAATTCTGTCTCTAAAGTCTTATTCTTTGTAGGTAACTCTGTATCTTAACCGTTCAGAGTTAGTTCGTGAATAGGTTTTTACTTCACAGGAATTCAGTTTTTGCAACAAACTCTATTTTCTAATTTCTTATCTCTGATATTTCAAGCTATGAATTCTGTTAGATTGAATAGTCTAAATTTAAAATATTAAAGGTGTACACCATCAGGTTGCAAAGATAGGGATTAGAAAATTTCAGTTTGTAGTAAATACTCAATTCCTTAACTAAAAAGCATCGTCATTGGAGAACATTATTGAATGTTTCTTTTTCTTTTTATTTCAAAATTAATGAAACGTTGTCTAGTCCAAATTGTAATGAGAATTTCCATGCCAAGTTTGAATTAATAAATAAAAACATGAATGTCTAACATTGACATGTTGAATTATTATAATTATCTTTGTCGAAAATCATTTTGATTAATTACCTCTGTTGTTGTTTACAATATCATCACTGCAGTACACTACAGCTGCACCAGCTACCACCAGAAATACGAGCTTATACATTCTTCTAATCACCTAGAATAGACCTATATAGCTGTGGAATGTACTATAGGACCCAATTAATGATTTTAAATGGTCCAATGGTGTACACAGGTCACAGACACATTTCACTTAAAAAGTTGATTCTTAAGCTTAAGTTGATTCTTACAAATAAGATTGCTTAAAAATTGTCTACATATTTTACCGTTATGGGTCACACTGTATAAAAATTAGTTAATTGAACTGCGAAGATTTAGATAAACAGCTTTGCGCTTTTGCTTGACCCGTAATTAATGATGTATCTTCAGATGGTTCAATTTTGGGTTGTTTGTTGTTTATATGTTCTTTAGGGGTCAATATTTAGCTTAGTATTAAACTTATTTAAATACTTTATTCTCAATATTTATTTTTCTTCCACTATGTCAAATATTAACCCTGGCAGTAGTTAAATACAAAAAAAAACGAGGGAAAAACGACCCAAGAACAATGCAAAAACGAATGTGTCGAAACGATCGTTTCGGATCGTTTTTGAATTTTTAATTTTTTTAGGTCAAAGATATTTTATTTAAGTTAAATAAAAGCAAACTTTTGTATTAAACAGTTTTAAAATCTCTAAGTTTTTTTTTCTAAAAATAAACCCGGAACACAAGAGGAGTGGTTCAACTTAGTCTACGCAGTTCAATTCTACCTCTAGCTATTTAGTAAATCTGGAGTTTAACCCTTGATATTTTACTATAAGATCAAATATTCAAAATTTCTACCAATGGACTGGAAAAATATAGGGAACAGTAGATTGGAGCTTGTGTGGCAAGTGTAGAGTTCCTTTGTGTGAAATTACTGGAATAACTGCGACCAAGGTTTCATTTTATACGTAAAAGTGTTCAAATCAAATTTGTATTTTGTGAACATTTTGAATTTTTTTTATCTTTTAGAAAAATAAAACAGAAAAAGCGCTGCATGTAATGATATGTAAACAGAAATAGCGCTGCACGTAATGATATGTAAATAGAAATAGCTCTGCATGTAATGATATGTAAACAGAAATAGCGCTGCACGTAATGATATGTAAATAGAAATAGCTCTGCATGTAATGATATGTAAATAGAAATAGCGCTGCATGTAATGATATATAAACAGAAATAGCGCTTGCATGTAATGATACATAAACAGAAATAGCGCTTGCATGTAATGATACACAAACAGAAATAGCGCTGCATGTAATGATATATAAACTGAAATAGCGCTGCATGTAATGATATATAAACAGAAATAGCACTGTATGTAATGATATAAAAACAAAAATAGCGCTGCAAGTAATGATATGTAAACAGGAATAGCGCTGCATGTAATGATATGAAAACAGAAATAGCGCTGCAAGTAATGATATGTAAACAGAAATAGCGCTGCATGTAATGATATATAAACAGAAATAGCACTGTATGCAATGATATGAAAACAAAAATAGCGCTGCAAGTAATGATATGTAAACAGGAATAGCGCTGCAAGTAATGATATGTAAACAGAAATAGCGCTGCATGTAATGATTTATAAACAGAAATAGCGCTGCATGTAATGATATGTAGACAGAAATAGCGCTGCAAGTAATGATATGTAAACAGAAATAGCGCTGCATGCAATGATATGAAAACAGAAATAGCGCTGCATGCAATGATTTATAAACAGAAATAGCGCTGCATGTAATGATTTATAAACAGAAATAGCACTGCATGTAATGATTTATAAACAGAAATAGCACTGCATGAAATGATTTATAAACAGAAATAGCGCTGCATGTAATGATATATAAACAGAAATAGCGCTGCATTTAATGATATATAAACAGAAATAGTGCTGCATGTAATGATATATAAACAGAAATAGCGCTGCATGTAATGATTTATAAACAGAAATAGCGCTGCATGTAATGATATGTAAACAGAAATAGCGCTGCATTTAATGATATGTAAACAGAAATAGCGCTGCAAGTAATGAT